TGAGTACTGTTCGTTACATCCATATTTCTTTTTTCTATTAAATTCTTGGCAATTTATTCATTTTACAACGCAAAACCACGGATGAAGGCGTACATTTTAAAACAACGACTTCTTCAAATTCAGGTATTGTGACAATGCCATTAATTGAGAACACCAAAATTCAAAATTCAGCTTAGTTTTCAACTGTGAAATTCGGATATTAATTGTGTATCAATTGTGTAAAACAATGGGATTTGAAGGATTTTACTCCAACCATTCTTTAAGCTTGATTTTTGTTTTCTTTTGGTGAAATTGGAATATTATTTCAGATATTTTTTTATTTAATTTACAACAAACAGTTTGTCCATTGTGCACAGATTCTGTGGGATTTTACTCAAGCCACTCTTTAAATATAAAGCAACGAAGATCGACACTCGCTCAAACAACGCGGGACTGAATGGGCAAATGGTCACAAACCACCGAACGAAAATACAAAAATACAGAATTACATCACAGAATTAATTAAAATTTGGTAAGCGGAATAGTTAAAGGTGTAAAAATAGATGTTCATAATAGCAAAAAAGCCAATGGTTGTGTGGAAGGAAATGCATGCATCTGATTCTTCTTTTGTGTTCCCAAGGTTCTGTGAATAATCCATGTATTATATTGTTGTGAAATGAATAGTAATGAACGGTGACTTTATGAAATTTAAGATCGGTGCCACGGATTCTTCTACAATATTTCATATGAGACATTCAGTTCACATTTAAAAATGTAAAGGAATTTGTTTATTTAGAATAGATAGTTTTCATATGACATATTTTCTCTCCGAGGTATTTCCCTTCACGGCCATCTTGGTAGTCAACCTGGTAATTTTTCCTCTTTGTCTTACCAAATCTATGAGGGTTTAGCAGAAATATTTGGGGAAAAATCTTTATAGAATAAAAATTATGAAATTGAGGAAGCTTTAACAAATGTATATTTTTCAGAAAAACAATGCTTTCTACCCTACAATGGCCAGTATAAAAAGTTAAAGTTGGTTGAATAATGAAGGAATATGAGCATGTTGACCTCCAATATGGTAGCCAACGGGAAATACATGTAACTCTTGCTAATTTGGGCCTACTGAAAACTATCTATAGATGCAATGAAAGATTAGAAGAAATTCAAGTACGTTTTTAAATTTATGTACCAAATGTTCTTGTTTGATTATAAATAGAACGATATTGGAATCATTTAAGAAATACCAACAGTATCAATACCAATACTATGGTAATGGGTCACTGGCCATGAGAATATTTTTAGAAAAAAAAATGAAGAAAAAAAATAAGCAAGCGATTTTGCACTTTTTTTTTCATTTGTCAAGGAAAGTCAAAGTCTAAAATCCAAGTTTTCAATTGATAATGATCATCTAATGCTTTCTATGATTTGTATTTTTTTTTTTTGCTCTTGAATTTGGTGTATCTATAGTCCAGATGGTTGTTCGATTTCAAAAATATGACTTGGTTCTTAAAATGCTCTTTTGTCCTGGCTTGATGGGCGGAGTTTCTAGAAAAATGTGAGTTATGTACAGATAATCTACACTTTTAACAAAATTTAAGAAATCACATCTAACTATGGTACAACAAAAGATGACGTCACAAAAATGTTTTTTTTTAAATATTTATTATAAATCAGGGATTTATCAGTACCTTCTCAGGGGCCGAAATTCGGCCCCATTCCCAATTGAAAATGAGTTCAGTTTTTCCCAGTTTGGCAGTTTATTTTCCCAATTGGTTAACAATGCTTTTATATTTAATTATCTTGGGAAAACACAAAGTAAAATTGTCAGATTGTCTGTAATTTTCATCTATTTAACTCATTTAGCAAAGCTACAGTCATGACACATGTTTAAAAACACTGTAAAAACATCGCCAACTTTTAATCCGAATTTCCTCCGTTTTTCTGAAAATGGTGATATTGTGTAATTATATAGATTTACTAAGTTATTTCTACCTACTCAATTGATCTACGAGTGAATGGTAAGGACTGTAGGTAATATTTCAAATAGAAAAATTTATTTTCAATGCGTTAATACATATTAAAAGAGGACTTTGAGAAAATGTGTACTTAGTATAATTTTTTGCAGGAGGTTTATAATCTCCAGAAACAGATTCTGTAATGACCTAAATTAGAATCTCATATACACATGTACTACCCTAAGTTGTATAAACACTTTATACTCATTGAAGTCAATTTTACTTTTATTAGTCTGTACTAGCTATGTTATTCATAATTGATCCTGTATGAAGTTGGATCATATTTAATTGTCTGTTTGGTTCATGCTGAAATGTTAAATGAATTACACCTGATTACATGATTTAAGCAACATTTTTAATTTTTCCCAATTTCATCAAAAAGCCGATAATTTTTTCCCAATTTCCCCAAAATGGCGTTTCCCAAAATAGGCTGATAAATCCCTGTAAATCACCAAGTGATTGCAGTACACAGCCATCTCAAAGAAGATATCATTGATAGTTTTATATACTGATAATATTAGATAGATTAATTGTGAATTTTTATGTGGTAGTTTCTTTTCAAGTTTGTTGTAGTTTGGAATAATTTTCTTTTCTTTGATTCGCCTTTTTTCTTGCATATTCAAATTTATTTCAAATCATGGACCTGTGTAAAACTCCTGATTATCATATTAGAATGATTTATTTAAACAGTTAAAAAAAAAACAACAACAAACAAACAACAACAAAAAGCCAATAATGTCGGAAACGAAATATATATATATATATATATATATATATATATATATATATATATATATATATATATACAGTGCTTACGGTAGTTCCGGATCATCGGTAGTTCCGGATCACTTTTTTGTGTATTAATTCTTTTAAAAATAATTGTTGAAGAAAAATTATTATCGATATATCACATGCGAAGAATAGGGGGTATTACTACTTCCAATAAAAAATCGAACTTTACCATGCACGATTTCGATACTTAGTTGCATCAGAAATAAAGCGCCCCAAAGAGGAAGATCGGTGTTTTGACAGTTTTACACGTGCTTTTTAAGAAGAGCTGTTCTTTTTGTTATACATAAGACGAGTAAGGAATTGATTGAACCTCATAAAATGTTTACTTGTTATATATTCTACTTCACCATATATAAGAAACTTATATCAATTAAACCTGTATATTTAAAACAAATAAACACCGTGAACCCACCGTTAGTGCAGTTCCGGATCACTTCACTCCGCAAGAAGGATTGTCTCAAACATCGTTTAATCACGTTAACTGTATTATTTTTTATGATCACTTTTTTGTGGTGAACACATTATCAAAATAAAATTAAAATAAAATATTTAATTTCTTTTGTTATTCAATCTCATTCCAGCACAGAATACTGACAACAAACACGTACAGTCATGTACATGTCAGAGCTGCGTATTTTAAAGGATTTGCAATGTATAGAAAAAAATATTATGTAATTTTTTTTTATGTCTTAAAGAAAAAGTAAACTCCGTAATTATCATTTTGTACATTGTTTTTTAAACCTCTACAATCCACTGTAAATTGTTGGTGATATTCAACTAATAAACGATTTTTAAAAAAAAAAAAATCTTAATTCATCAGTTAGAACTGCATGAATGCTTCGATCTATACTTCAATCTATTTTTCGAAAAACATGCATGTCTGATATTTATTTCAATTTAAATCACATTTACTTCTGTTATCATGGTTATAATAAATCCACCAATATATATATCTTTTTTTTTTTTTATATCACCAGCTTCAAATTAAATCTTAAGATATGGCCCGGTTCGTCATGTTCGTTGGAATCTGATCAGGTGTTCGATATTAAATTAATTTAACTTTTTTTCCCTAAAAGATGAATGATTATCACACTTTAACTGCATAATCCATATTCATAATTATACATAATGACAAATTATTGAAATATTTCCCATAAAAAAAAAAACAAACAAACAAATTTATATAACAGTTGAAATTTACTATTTCTTCATCTTTCTAAATAAGGCCTAGATAAAGAGTTTAATTTCTATTCCATTCTGTGAAAAAAAAATGTTTGTTAAAAAATTTATATTTATTTACATATATTATAATAAATATCAACATAAAAAGCATATTAATGTATTCGGTACGAAACATCACTTCGCAAACCATATCAGCGCTAAAGAGAATCGGCGCAAACCATCATGTAGCAAACCATGCACCGGTGCCAAACATCCCGTTACTGGTAATAAGAACAGGCACTCCCCAGCCTAATTGTTTAAAATATATATCTACTACACTATATAGTATAGTAATATATATATTTTAAACAATCAAGCTGGGGAGAACCTAATGGTAATTACCGTGATCCGCAACTGTCGTAAGTGATCCGAAACTGTCGTAATTTTAGTTGTTGAATACACTTCGGTTACTTACGAAAGCCGAGTAATAAATTAATAAATCTCATTTTATATGAAAGGTACGAGAATGGGCTCTCAACAGTACGTAAATATTTATATTAATCTCGTTATTAATTTTCACTACCAATGTATAAATGAAAACTGATCCGGATCTACCGTAAACACTGTAGAATAGAATAGAATAGAATATTATTCAACCAATTTGGGCCCACAGTGGAGCATAAAGATGAACAATGTCCGAAATCATAGTCATAAATAACAATAAACAGAACAAAACAAACAATTGTATATTGAACAGAGAGTTAGCTGTCAACTTTTATGATGCATAAAATGTATACAAATAGTATATGTACAATGACTGTAATATTCCTATATTGTACTATGTTGTTTTCTCATATATATATATAAATAGATATAGTATGTAATGTTCATTTACTATAGTATATATACAGAATGGAAAACAGAAACGTTTATAATACGTATGAAATTTCTTATGTGACTATGGGATATTTTGAGTCTGTCATGGTATGAAATATCATGGGACGAACTCCGAGAGCGAAACAAATCGGTGCGAAATACCCAAGATTGTTTACAAACGTTTGCATGCCGTTTTGTGAATATTGTAAATATAGTCATGGTAAGCGGTGATACATGGATTATACTTGATCTGGCAAGGCGTATTAATGAGATTTTGTCTGTATTTGTTTTTTAATTGTGTTTTTTTTTCAATTTTGCTGAATCAAGTTAGTCATATTTGATAGTGCAGAGGAAATTCGCTATAAATAGATGTATGCACAACCAACCTCTGTCTTTGGAAATATAAATAAAATTATAATGAGCCAACCCACCATGCTGATACTGACCTTCAGATTCTAACATTACAGATTCCACAAAAGTTCAAGCCTTCTCATTTTAAAAGCCTTTCTTCTTCAGATTTGTTTATGTGTATTTCATTGAAGCACAGTGTAATTAATTATAATTGCTTGGATTGGAGTTCGGAGTCAACTTTTAGAGTCTGAGATTTTTTGAAAACATGAATGAAAAATGTTAAAGACGTATTATTGTGAAAGTCTTCATAATATTTTTGTATGAATGTTGGCATTTCAAAATGAAAATCTTCCATCAGCCTTGTACCTCAAATCACTTGACTCTGCCATGATCATGCAGGGGCCCGTTTTACAAAAGAACTTATGACTAAGACCAAAAACTTCAGTTGATTGTAAGATTTTGCAAAATTAATTATTCTGTTCAAAATTACTAGTGTTAAAGTATCTTTCCACATACCTTTTAAAAACATTAAAACCATTTTCTATTTAATGTAGATTAGAAAGTTATTAGCAGAATTAAATTTTGGTCATAGTCATAAGTTCTTTTGTAAATCAGGCCCCAGGAGCCTATTTGGTGTATTTGCATATCTGTTGTACATATTATTTAAATAGTGAGGATGTGGGCATATCACCCAGATTCCTATTGCATTTATATGACACAATATGTAATTATTTCAAAGAGAATTGCATTGCAATCTTTGTCGATTTGAAGGCTGAGTTAGTAATTTTATTAACCCTAGAAGGGCTACATAAAATTCACAGTAAAACTGAGTACATTTCAACTGCGAGCAAGTTTCTCTTTATACTAAAAATGTTCATGGGGGGCATTCTGCTGTGACACTGGACTTATTATAATACACAACGGGACATGAAATGGTTACCGGGTAACTACATGTAAATGAAGTTGGCAAACAGATTCAAAATTACAATATTTAGAAATACTTTTCATTAGAAAACAGAGAACTTTATTTTCGCGTAATTATGTGAGGTAGTGTGCTCGCAAAATTATCATTCTCGCGTATAGTAGTATTCCTAAAGACACCTGAACCCCTGACCCAGGAGCCATGAAATTCACAATTTCTGAAAAGGCAGCCATGCTCATCATAACTATGTTCTTAGTTACTTTATTTAATACCCAGAAGCAGAGAAGAAGATTTTCAAAGAATTAATGCATTTTCACAATATAGTCAATAGAGCCCCACCCTAACACCAGAACCCCAGACCCTGGGGCCATGAAATTCACAATTTTGGAAGAGGCACTCTTGCTCATCATAACTTATGTACTTGGTTACTTTATTTAATACCCAGGAGCAGAGAAGAAGATTTTCAAAGAATTAATGCATTTTCACTATATAATCAATAGAGCCCCACCCTTACACCAGAACCCCTAACCCTGGGGCCATGAATTTCACAATTTTGGAAGAGGCACTCTTGCTCATCATAACTATGTACTTAGTTACTTTATTTAATACCCAGTGGCAGAGAAGAAGATTTTCAAAGAATTAATGCATTTTCACTATATAATCAATAGAGCCCCGCCCTTACACAATTGAATTTCACAATTTTAGTAGAGGGCTCAATGCTTATTACAATGATACCAACAGTTTGACTGCTTGATGTCCAGGAGTAAAGAAGAAGATTTTTAAAGATTGCATTATTTTTAGTGGTTTTAGCCCCACCCCTCAGGCCCCAGGGGGGCAGGGACCATGAAATTCACAGTTTTTGTTTCCTTCACCCATAGATGCTATATGCCAAATTTGGTTGAAATTGGTTCAGCGGTTTCAGAGAAGAAGCTAAAAATGTTCAAATGTTAACACACAACGCACGCCGACGGATGAGAACGGATAGCAATAGGTCACCTGAGTGACTCAAGTGAGCTAAAAATAGGGTGATCAGGATCAACAAAATAATTAATCTAGTATTCATTGACAGTTTATAAATAAGGTTCTAATCTGTTCCCTATTTATCACTATCATCATATAGTATATCAAAAAACTATCAGTGCTTCTATGCTATTTTAATTCCTTGTTGAAATTTCTTACATTGGCCTCTCTTGGTCTTTGATGAACATTTAATAAGACAAGTTATTTTTGTTCCATTTTTATTTATCTATTACTTACAAGTCTACCTGATCATTAAAACTTGAAAATACTTTTTGTATAATACAATAAAAATTCTTGCATAATTCTCTTATTCTATTAACCTTTCATGTACATTGTTTACAGTGATTAATCATCAAAAGTAAACGGCAAAGGGGAATAACTCTTCTCAGTAGAATACAAATTAATAGAGCCCTGGCCAGGACCAGAACACTTGACCAAATGGTTCAGATGTTCAAAAATCTGGTAAAAATACCCTTCCTTATTAAAACTTTTAATCTTTTAGCCTCTGATATGCCCAGGTGCAGAGAAGATTTTTAAAGAAGTAATGCATTTTTACTACAGATTCACTAAATTATCAATAGAACCCCCTCCCCCCCCCCCTCCCCACCAAGAAACACTAGAGTCTCTCACCCTGGAACCAGACGTTTGCTCATCATAAGTAATCACTTTGTTTATCTGCTTAACACTAAGGAGCAGACAGAATTATTTAATAGAATTAATGCATTTTCAATATGTTATCAAGAGCCCCACCCTTACACCAGCACATCTGACCCGGGGTCATGCAATTCACTACTCTGGAAGAAGCACTCTTGCTCATCGTAACTATATACTTAGCTTCTTTGCTTTTTAACCAGAAGCAGAAAAGAATATTTTCAAAGAAATTCACTATATAATCAATAGAGCCCCCCACCCCAACCTTTGAACTAGAACCCTTGACCCTGGGGCCATGAAATTCAGAATTTTGGAAGAGGCATCCTTGCATATCATAACAATGTACTTAGTTTGTTTAATTATTACCCAGGGGCAGAGAAGAAGATTTTCAAAGAAAAAATTCACCTTCACTATAGGATCTATATAGCCCCACCCTAGAACCAGAACCCCTGACCCTGGGACCATGAATTTCACAATTTTGGAAAAGGCATCATGTCTTATCATAACAATGTACTTACTTGTTTGTTTTAAAAATACTCAGGAGCAGAAAAGAAGATTTTTAAAGCATTAATGCATTTTCACTATATAATAAATAGAGCCCGGCCCTAACATCAGAACCCCTGATCCAGGGGTCATGAAATTCACTACCCTTGCTTATCATAACTATGTATTTAATTTGTTTAAATAATACCAGGGTTCTCACTAGGATTTTGCCAACTTGAGTCCCAGGACTCAAGATTTCTGAGAAGGTTGCATCCCAGCTAAATTTGATGGTCCCAGAATAATTATGTTGAGTCCCAACTAAATTATTGCAGTATCCTTCCATCCAAACATCAATAAAAATCTTTATCATTTTATCAGTTTGTTTACGCAATATTAACATATTCAAGTATATAAACCATGTAAACTGGTAATGCATTCAAGCAACATTCTAAAATACACGCGTAATCAGTTGCCATAAAAATTAACTTGGTGTTTATAAAGCTAAAATTAACTGTTGCATAATCAACTAGTACCCGAAAGTTGACTGTATACAATCACAGGTGTCATGTGCAATGAGGCGTAACTAATCCTGTCAGTAGTCTGCACTGGGTGAAATTCACAAGATAATCAAGCCGCATTGTGTATACAAGCAGTAATTATGGTTTCTACATGTAGACACTCAAGATTCAAAAGTGTTTTTTTTTTTAAAAAAAAAAAAGAAGAAGCTGCAGTGTGTTTACAGCTGTCGGAGTTTGACATGCAACATTATTATGACTATGGACTAATAAACATGAAGTATCTTAATTATGATCAATCCCTGTTAAAAAAAAAAAAAAGAGAAATAAGTACAAGAAAAGTTATTTCTTGGATGAACTTTATGATAGTCACAGGAAGGTTTCGATTAAATATTTCTTTGACAAATCCTAACATCTAAATTCCCCGTTTTTGAAATTACCCGAATTTTCTCGCTAACGAGGACGCGTCCGATCATGAATCCGCGGACGCATCGATTTTAAGAACCTTGCGTCCCAAGTAATTTTGCTGCGTCTAGGACGCAGATTCTTGCGTTAATGAGAACCCTGTAATACCCAGGAGTAGAGAAGAAGATTTTCAAAGAAATAATGCACTTTCACTATATGATCTATATAGCCCCGCCCTAGCACCAGAACCCCTGACCCTGGGGCTATGAATTTCACAATTTTGGTAGAATCACTCTTGCTTATCATAACTATGTATTTAATTTGTTTCAATAATACTCAGGAGTAGAGAAGAAGATTTTCAAAGAAATAATGCACTTTCACTATATGATCTATATAGCCCCGCCCTAGCACCAGAACCCCTGACCCTGGGGCCATGAATTTCACAATTTTGGTAGAGTCACTCTTGCTTATCATAACTATGTATTCAATTTGTTTCAATAATACCCAGGAGTAGAGAAGAAGATTTTCAAAGAAATAATGCACTTTCACTATATGATCTATCTGCCCCCCCCCCCCCCCCGAACCAGAACCCCTGAACCCTCGGGCTATGAATTTCACAATTTAGGTAGAGTCACTCTTGCTTATCATAACTATGTATTTAATTTGTTTCAATAATACCCAGGAGTAGAGAAGAAGATTTTCAAAGAAATAATGCACTTTCACTATATGATCTATATAGCCCCGCCCTAGCACCAGAACCCCTGACCCTGGGGCCATGAATTTCACAATTTTGGTAGATGGCTCAATGCTTATTACAATCATGCCAACAGTTTGACTGCTTGGTGTCCAGGAGTAAAGAAGAAGATTTTTAAAGATTGCATTAATTTTGGTGGTTTTAGCCCCACCCCTCAGGCCCCAGGGGGGCAGGGACCATGATATTCATAAATTTTGTTCCGCTTAACACATAGATGCCATATGCTAAAATTGGCTGAAATTGGTTGAGCGGTTTTAGAGAAGAAGCTGAAAATGTTCAAATGTTAACACATGACGCACGACGACGGACGAAAACAGATAGCAATAGGTCACCTGAGTGACTCAGGTGACCTAAAAACGAAGCCGGTATAGTCCTTTGAGTATTAGCCAATCAGATTTCAGAGCATGCACATGCCCATGTTTTCTAGATATTTCACATGTCTTCCTTTTAAGAAGACTCGACACAATAAAGACCTACATGTACGTAAGAAATCTCAAACATTTCTATTGAAAACTCTTAGAGATAAAGCCATATAAGTATTAGCAAATCAGAGCCCAGCACATGTGCATGCATGCACTTGCATTCAATTTTGATAGTAGTACAATGTAGGAACCCATTATACCTATCTATTTTCTGAATTTCGTCCTGTTTTACTGAAAACTAAGAAAGTTAAAGCCATTTAAAGTTTAAACCAATAAATTGCAACACGTGTGCATGCGAGCGTTTTCAAAATATCTCATATATATCATAATGTAGAACCTCCTTATGTATGACCATGTTTTAAATTTAAAAGTATTTCGTCAAAAAGCAAGAAGGTTATTGAGATTTTAGTGTCAGCCAGTCAGAGCAAAGCACACATGCATGCTTTCTTGCTAATTCAACCACCTCATCTTGTCTACACCACCTAAACAATAGGTTCCAAAACTTTGTTTGGGGAACATAATAAGTTGTTGAATTAAAATATTAGAAATCTGTAAGCACCCTTTCTTTACGAAATCTTTTCCCAAAAATTTGATTTTAAATTTTATGAAGCCTGACAAGATCTTCATTTTATGACCTCTTTTTTTATCAATATGTACATGTATTTTAATGTTTCTATTGTAGGCTACTCTTGACATGGATCAGGAGACAGCTCAGGTTCTTTTCCATGAAGGGGCAACACTGGTGTGTTTGGATGTTCCAGAGGGGACAGAATTTGGAATTGATTACTCCTCTTGGACAGTGGGAGAAAAGTTCAAGGGGGTTAAAATGATCCCACCAGGAATCCACTTTGTTTACTGCAGGTATGGATTTCATGTCCAAGAATATACACTCTAAAATTCATCATATAAATTGAGTTGGTGGGGATGCCAGTATTTGTAGCAATGATGTCCAAGTCTTGGTGAAACTTCACATATTTTGAAAATGAAAATGTACTTGCATCAGATTATTTTCTTTTCAGTGCTAGAGACAGACAGACAGGAGAAGTATGTCCAAGAAGTGGTTCTTTCATCAACTTCCAACAGAAAGGAGTCATTGTTAGAAAATGGGATGGAATCAAAGATGGTATCTGCACATACCTGATAACATACAAATTGTTGACTGTGGTAAAAATTAGGGATGTCAACGAGTACCCGGTTAACCGGGTACTCGATCGAACGTCCGAGTATCGAATACTAAAAATGGTACTCGTTTACTCGGATGTATATTTTTCTTATTTCAAAGTATATATTTTCATCAAAACTTTATCAAAAAATAACTTAAATAATGCATACAGTAAATAACATGTCGTCATCTACATCTGTAAAACACGCGTTATCGCCTGTGGCTGGGTATATACGGTAATTAGTGACCAATCACCCAGCTGTTCTCACCTATTGCGGTCCTTAATTTTTGAATGGCTTCAATAATTGTTTTCATTGTACATCGTTTAAGTATGGTCTGTTATCTTCAAATCATTTTTAAATTATTTAGTTAATATACGACAGTGAAATTAGACATGCATAGAAATGCCATTTCCCACTTCCAAAGTTAGAAAGAATGAAAGATTTTAAAAAAATGTTGAAAGTCAGTTTGCATAGTAGGTTTAGTGTATACCGTGGAAACAACCAACATATGAAAAAAATATTAGACTAGCGATCCCAGCAACGTCCTTCTTTCTCTTTCCCTAATTTAATCATCACAAATCTGCATAACAGATTGTCCTCCTTTTGCGTTGCTCAGATAGATCCTAAACAAGAACTGTAAACCATTTGTAATTTTTTTGGTATAAATTGTGTCGTTTATATTCATTTGATAAATAAATTTAGTACCAAAAAATCATTTCCGTTGGAATCTATGTTTAAATACGTTTATAAATGTGATAAAAACAGCTTTGGGGTTTGACAGAGCTTGGCTCAAGAAAATTAACACACTTGTATTAATTTTACAGTTTTACCGAGTACCCGGGTACTCGATCGGAAAAATGTTCGAGTAACCGATTATCAAAAATTGACCGATCTGACATCCCTATTAAAAATCCATGCTATCGAACAATTTTATCAGAACTTAACTGAAAATTCTCTTTTTTTAAATCAGATTTGACAGAGGACAATGTCAGTGCTGTTGATGTTCAACGCATTCAGGACAATCTGAAAGAACTAGACAGATTTTTAGGCCCTTACCCTTATGACAAGTATGTAGCATTTTCATTTAATGGTCTGTTTGCCCCTTTCCTCAGATATTTTTGCTAAGTAATAGGGGGCACAATCAGTAATTAGATGAATAATGATAGAAATGGGATGTATTTGGCAAAATAAATACTCATGAACACTTAAAATTTCATCAAGAATACAATTTTAAAATAGTGAAAAACAAAAACAAAATCTCTTTGCAGGTTCAAGAAATGGGTGTCTCTCAGCAACTTTATCACTCCAGAGTTGGTGGACAAGTTACAGCCTCTCAGTAAAACAATATCTTCTGTCACTGACTTTGTGTCTGAGGTAAGCAACACTCAGACCCGAAGATCCCAGAGCACATCTTCTCAAGCCAAGAAAGCCAAGCTTTTAATTGATAAAACTGAGTCTATGGAAGATGACACTCAAGGGAATCAGGAAGAAAATGCAGAACCAGCCTCTCTGAAAGAAGCAGAGTCCAAGTTACCAGATATGAAAGTGCGAGAAGAAAGCAAAATCAGATTTAGTCCCATACCAAAGCTGAAATATCCCCCAGGCAGCTCTCCTGCTGAAATGACAAAATACAGTATGGACTCAAGTTATGTCTTGGAAAGCATACTAAGTTCATGTTACCATGACAGTGAAATGGGAATTCTTGGAGAAATTCAGTTTGCCTTTATATGCTTTCTGATTGGTCAGGTTTTAGATGCCTTTGAACAATGGAAGAATCTTGTTCATGTAATGTGCTCCAGTGAGGAATCACTGGCAAAACACTCTGCATTATTTTCAAACTTTATTGGTGTTCTTCATTTTCACATCCAAGAGACACCAGAAGACTTCTTTGTTGATATTTTATCAGAAAATAATTTCCTTACATCCACTTTACAAGTGTTCTTTTCCAATTTAGAAAACATTTCAAATGATAGTGGACTTAGGAAAAAAGGACTAAAGTTTCGGGACTACTTGACACAAAAATTCAAATGGGACTTTACTTCGGAGCCTGATGAATATGCACCAACTATTGTACAATTAGAGTAAATAGGTATAACAAGATGTACTTGAATAACTTTTATTTTGAAGTGAAAAATATGAGGTGAAAGTCATGTACATGGATATATATTTTGTTTTATTTGTCACAGGCCATGGTTAATTCAACTCAGCTTATATCTATTTATATTGATGACCTATAGAGCAAGTTTGAGTTTCATGTCAATCGACTCTGAAGAAAGCTTTCATACTTTTCCATATCTTTTATCAGTGCTCATTTTAAAAGAGACCAGAGGAGGTTATGTACAGTAAGGTGTCTGTCGTCCATCCTGACGATCTAGCTGTCTGTCCATAAATAATTCTTCAAAATGATACTCTTCCTTCAGTTTTTGGTCTTATTTCAATGTAACTTGGTACACAAGTAGACTACACTAAGAAACATTAATTCTGTGTATTGGTTTTTGATGAAAGGTATTGGCATGGTTACTAAAAATAGAAATATCTGTGAAATTCTTACAAAATGTTACTCTTACCACAGTTTTTGTCCAATTGCAATTAAACTTGACTCAGAGACAAAATTAAGGTCAAGATCCAGTAAATGAAAGAAGCCTACATATACTTCAAATTTGAGAAATAAATTCCTTCATTGATGCTTGTTATCTATAGCTTTGTCAAATAATAGTCAAATAGTGTGCAAGGAAGATGATCATATTCCTAAGTACAAAGATTTCAATGACTTTTCCACTCCTTGTGTCCTCAATGTGTCAATTTTGAATTAGCACATGTATTTGATAAAATAACACAAACTCTCTCTTTTCAATTTTCATTTATTTTTAATAGGACCTGACTGGTCAGATGTCATAGTGAACAAATAACGATGAAGAAACAATACATGTGGGCTCTCTCATACAGTAACAAAATTTCTAATAAAAAGATGTGCTTAATATATCTTCATACAGTCCCATACACATTGTACATACTTTGCCAATCACAAGATTAAAGGTTTAATTGCACATACTTGCAACAAACAAAGATCACAATAGCATGCCTGACTGTCAGCAATAAAACATTTGTTTTACATTCTAATGTTAACTAAAGGAACTTAAAGTTGAAAGCAGACTGAAAGCTTATTTAGTACAGAACATCATTTATGTGAAGGCTCTGTTCTTTCAATCAATGCTAACATAGGATAGCTTTTTTATTTATTGAAAATGTACAAACAAAATATGGATAGAACCTTTTTTCTAGCATTCTCAAATACTTCCTGAATAAAAACCTGTATTTTCTGGAAAAGTAAGAATAAATTATCTTTATATGACTTTCCAAGCCATTTAAAAATATAAACATTTAAATATATACATTAACAATAATGACATTTTAAATGAAACTTTCAACAAGTAACCATCCATCCTTTTAAAATCCCACCTTTGAGCTTCTGTATATTAGATTGTTAAGTACATGCACATTAAAACACTGCAGTTTAATTTGCCTGGTAGGCACCAAATCTAGGCAATCTTTTAATCAAATAAATAATTTTTCATATCTTACATAATTGAAAAATATCTATAAAGTGGAAAATCCCTTAATATAAATATTGTCTTAAATTCACTGATCTACATGTAGGTGATTTTAAAGACGATATATCAAATTAAAGCTTACCTGTACTTGTGAGACATTATTTTTACAAATATAAGTAATCTATATCTGGGTATCTTTTCTATACATCAACTTAGGTCAAGATCTAGTAAATGAAAACACTCCATAGGTTTCTCAAAACTTGAGAAATGAAGTCTTCTCTAATGATGCATAAATACCATATCTTGGGTAAATAAGGTCTATATTAATTTTTTGGTAAACACAAAACTTAAAGGATAACTGTAAAGAATGAGAAAAAATAAGTTTGAATTCTTTATGTAATGACATTACAATGGATCTGACAACAAAAGCTGTTTAAACTCCTTTACTAGATCTTGACTTTATCTTACAAATCATATTTTTAATAAAGAAGATATTAAAAATATGATGCTTTAATTACTTGTCTTGGATTACAAGGTAAATTATATTAACCCTGAAACAAATTACCCCCATTCCATGCATCAGATCTTTATTGATGTGAATCTTTGTAATATTTTACATATACATGTAGTACTAAGTTCTCCATAAGGAAGTTCAACCTATTATATACCGGGATTCTAGATTTCTGCTGGAGACAAGAGGCCCAAGGGCCTTAATGGTCACCTGAGTATAATACAACAATTTAGAGGATCCATAGAGTATAAAATAAACTGAAAGGTGAAGCTTTGTTGCCCAAAAGCAAGAAATATAGGGTGATCATGATCAACAAAATAATTGGTCTTAATATTCATTAACAGTTCATAAATTAGGTTCTAATCTGTTCCCCATTTATCACTATCACCATACAGTATATTAACTCTGTACTATTTTAATCCCTTGTTGAAATCTCTTACATTGGCCTCTCTTGGTCCTTGATGAACATTTAATAAGACAAGTTATTTTTGTCTCATTTTTATTTATCTACTACTTACAAGTCTATCTGATCATTAAAACTATAAAAGTACTTTCTGTATTATACAATTAAAGTTCTTGCATAATTCTCTTATTCTATTTACCTTTCAAGTACATTATTTACAGTGATAAATTATCAAAAGTAAATGGCAAAGGGGAATAACTCCTCTCAGTAGAATACAAACTAATAGAGCCCTGGCCAGGACCAGAACACTTGACCAAATGGTCCAGATTTCAAAATTCTGGTAAAAATTCCCTTCCTTATAAAAACTTTTACTCTGTCTGCCTCAGATATGCCCAGGTGCGGAGAAGATTTTTAAAGAAATAATGCATTTTTACTACAGATTCATTATATTATCAATAGAGCCCCCCCCCCCCCCCTCGAAACACCAGAGCTTCTGACCCTGGGACCATAAGTTTGCTCATCATAACTAATCACTTTGTTTATCTGCTTAACACTAAGGAGCAAACAAGATTTTTGAATAGAATTAATGCATTTTCACTATATTATCAAGAGCCCCACCATCACATCTGACCCAGGGGTCATGAAATTCACTACTCTGGAAGAAGCACTCTTGCTCATCATAACTATACACTTAGCTTCTTTGCTTTTTTAACCAGAAGCAGAAAAGAATATTTTCAAGGAAATTTTGCTTTTTCACTTTATAATCAATAGAAGCCCCCCCCCCCCCCCCCCACCAGAACCCTTAAACCTGGGGTCATAAAATTCACAATTTTGGAAGAGGCATCCTTGCGTATCATATCAATGTACTCAGTATGTTTAAACAATACCCAGGGGCAGAGAAGAAGATTTTCAAAGAAATAATTCACCTTCACTATAGGATCTATATAGCCCCGCCCTAGCACCAGAACTCCTGTCACCGGGGCCATGAATTTCACAATTTTGGAAGAGGCATCCTTGCTTATCATAACAATGTACTTAGTTTGTTTAAATGATACTGAGGAGTAGAGAAGAAGATTTTCAAAGAATTAATGCATTTTCACTATATAATAAATAGAGCCCCACCCTAACACCAGAACCCCTGACCCAGGGGCCATGAAATTCACAATTTTGGAAGAGGAACTCTTGCTCATCCTAACTGTGTACTTAGTTAGTTTATTTAATACCCAGGAGCAGAGAAGAAGATTTTCAAAGAATTAACGCATTTTCACTATATAATCAATAGAGCCCCGCCTTAACACCAGAACCCCTGCCCCTGGGGTCATGAAATTCACAATTTTGGAAGAGGCACTCTTACTCATTATAACTATGTACTTAGTTACTGTATTTAATACCCAGGAGCAGAGAAGAAGATTTTCAATGAATTAATGCATTTTCACTATATAATCAATAAAGCCCCGCCCTAACACCAGAACCCCTGTCCCTGGGGCCATGAAATTCACAATCTTGGAAGAGGCACTCTTGCTCATCATAACTTCGTACTTAGTTACTTTATTTAATACCCAGGAGCAGAGAAGAAGATTTTTCAATGAATTAATGCATTTTCACTATATAATTAATAGAGTCCCGCCCTTACACCAGAACCCCTGCCCCTGGGGCCATGAAATTCCTAATTTTGGAAGAGGCACTCTAGCTCATCATAACTATGTACTTAATTACTGTATTTAATATCTAGGAGCAGAGAAGAAGATTTTCAAAGAAATAATGCACTTTCACTATATGATCTATATAGCCCCGCCCTAGCACTAGAACCCCTGACCCTGGGGCCATGAATTTCACAATTTTGGTAGAGGGCTCAATGCTTATTACACTCATGCCAACAGTTTGACTGCTTGGTGTCCGGGAGTAAAGAAGAAGATTTTTAAAGATTGCATTAATTTTGGTGGTTTTAGCCCCATCCCTCAGGCCCCAGGGGGGCAGGGACCATGAAATTCAAATTTTTGTTCCCCTTCACCCATAGATGCTATATGCCAAATTTGGTTGAAATTGGTTGAGCGGTTTTAGAGAAGAAGCTAAAAATGTTCAAATGTTAACGCACATTGCACGAAGCACGACAACGGACAAAAACGGATAGCAATAGGTCACCTGAGTGACTCAGGTGACCTAAAAATTGATTGGAAATACATGTATAGAGTGTATGTTCATTTTGAATATGTTAATAAACACTATGATTTAACTATTAAGCAGAAAAAATACCAAATTTGGAACCAGGTGAAAAAAAAGTAATGTGAAAACTAGGGATGTCAACGAATAGTCGACTATTCGACTATCATTCGAATGGACCGACGATCGAATAATGGAACGACATTCGAATATTATCATAATTAAATAAATGCAATAAAAGAGTGATAACGTGATGGAATTCTCATCACAAAATTGAGAAACCGTCTTTCCTCAGAGACAGTCGATAAGATAATTTTCCTCAACAAAAAACGGTTGATTTTCCATGTACGTATAGAAAGTACAGTAATTATAAGTGCTTCACTAGTTGCGTACTGCGGGAATTATTTATCAGTAACTGCTGTGTTGTTTTTGTAATTAATTACCCACCAATTTACTAGGCTTTGCTTGTAAAATTATAAATTGGACTTGATTTTATATCATGTGCCAATTATTTTTTGTTATTTTAAGATTGATCAAGCGCAAGGAAGAACCATAAGTGTGACATGTTTTGACACTTCGATAATTATCAAAACAATTCGCTTACATTTTAAACTGTATAAGGACATTTTGATAGCCAGAGCAAACAATAATCGAATAAGCAGTATCTAACTGTTTAACAATTTCACAGGCACTTGACGTGTGGATAGTGTGAGATTACCCCCCCCCCCCCTTCTCCAATTTTTTTCATAATAATCTTTAAAAAAAAAAAATATCTCCTGGGAATTTTTTTCTTTGCTTACTTCAAATAAAAACTGACTGCATGTACAAACCCATTTATGAATTCTATTGACGGGGAAATCATACATTTTGGAAAATTAGGTTTTGAAATTCAAATAATCATGCTATCCACGCGTTACGTTGCCTAAATTTTGATGTTACTTTTTAAATAGATTTAAGTAAAAGGGTTTCAGGATTATGAATAAATCATGTACCAGTGAAGTTTCAAATACAATTTTATTTTCAGGAAATGTTCCAAATATATTCGACTATCGTTCGAATAATGCAATCGAATAATCGACTAAGGAAAATAAATATTTTGACATCCCTAGTGAAAACCTTTTGAATGAAATGGCAATTTCTCTTTTAAGTTTGTACAATGCAAAAATGTTACTACATGTATATAAATGTTGATCATGTGAATATATTTTAAATTTGGACCAATCATTATGACTGTTGGCAAAAAATGCTAATGCAAATTAAAAAATTAAACCATGTGTTAAAAAAAATGCAATATCATTTCAGAAAAATTTGCTGCATGTAACAATGGCAAATGTAATTCACCATTCCCTAAATACTAGATGTGTACAGGTTGAGATTCTGCTTCACAGCTAAATATATGAAATGTCTATACCTGCATTGTACTAAACAAAACTAAAATAGTTCAGTGGCAAGAATGTATTATAGTGGGACAAAAAAATGACAAATGCTACCCTTCTCAGCTCACCTGAGCCAAAGGCTCAAGTGAGCTTTTTTTCAATGTTTCATACTGCAACACACTGAAATAATTGTTCACACTAAAACACAAATTGCTACAACCCTTCTCAATTCTCATTGCACACAACAGAAATGGAAAGAATGATTAAACCAATGCAGACAGATACAAATTAAGAAAGAAAATGGAAGACAGTCAAATGAACTTGATATAGAAAATGGAGGATACAAAATATTTAAAAAAAAAAAAAGATGACTCGGGTACGAAGTACATGGAACATTGGTTACTTATTGGGGTCAACCCTGTGCTACAAAAGCAACAAAAATAACCTATACAGCTACTTGGTGGTCCTTGGGACCTACTAGTCAAAAAATATATACATACCCAACTTCTAAACCATAAACATTGATAAAATTTATGTACACAATATTATTTACAAGCAAAGACAAACTATAAACTGGTACAAGCTACATATAAGCACAGATTTAACAAAAGCCAAGAAAAAGCTTAATTGTACATCTCATTTACTGGCTTGAATTGGTAAATAAAGCTGCCCAGACTCGGTCTTATCACCTCTGTATCTCCCAAACAGTTGCATGTTAATTTGAAAGAATGAGACAGGTTATACTGTGGAATCATTTTAATTCGTAGGGGTCAATGTTTGTGGGCAATCAAAATTTTACTGCTTTGTGTAGAAGTAATTTTCAGGATAACTCACTTATACAGACCAATCAATAAACCAATGCATTGACAAAGTTATCATTCCTGGGGAATGTAAATTTGGTGGTAAAGATAACCCTCAAACATTAATGATTCCACTTTTCTAATGTAATTGAGATAAAATTAATGTAAATTTAATTAACCAGGATCAAATTTTTTTACTAAAACAAATAAATGAATGTTCATCACTATGGAAAGTATATATGTAGATTTTTTTATTAATTTGTCCTTACATATGGAAAATTTTAGGTAGAAAATAAATCATTGCAAAAAGATACATTTCTAAAACTGTACCCTCATCCCCTCATAAAAGAAGGGAAATGTTTGGTAGAGGTTTATAGTAAAACATGGCTTGTTTGTGATTTTCCTTAGCATGGCTAAAATTGCTGAAATATAATCTAAAATACATTTAATAATACTTTGAACAATATATTTTCCTCTTTTCTTTAAATTATATAAATTAAATATATACATTTTCACAAAAACACACACACTATTCTTTCACAAATAAGCACAGTACAGTACTTATTACTCATAAAATAAAAACAAAAAATGTTAAGTTACACAAGCAATACATTTCTGTAAAAAAAAAAATATTGTTAAGACACTGATGTCTTTAAATTGCAAAGTCTGGATGCTGTATTTCAATCAGCTTGTCTTTCCTGTGAATGGAGCACCAAAGCAAGCCTCTATTGACACTGCTTGCATTAAGTACAAGTAATATATAGAAATGAGCACTTATCTGTTTGGTACAACAACAACAACAAAAGTATACACTCATAATCGTACAAAAGTTTCAAGGATTTCTTCTGCCATATGTAAATTATTTCTGGCCACTCGCAATGCATCCACCACACGTAAGCGGTCATAACCCTTAGCAACCAAATGATCGACTTGGACCTCGTCTACACTGTTTTCTTTATTACTGTCTGTATTTTCACGTAATCTGTTTCTAACAGGAAGCTGTATATCTTTTTCTTCTGGTGGAGGATCAGACAGTTTTCTATAAAGAGATCAAAATTTGCACACCATCAATTTTTCTTTTTAACCTGAAAAATGCTCTTTATGACCTTGACATCTATCCCTTATTCCAAAAGGCCATTATGACCACATAACATGCTTTACATCTATGAGAAGAAATTGTTTATTGGACAATCTTTACATGGAATCAATACTTTTTTCTATCAACTGATACATGTACCTTGACCATTGACAAATATGGGAAAGATCACTTTCATATTGTAACGGAAATGTGTGAATCTTTATATACCAGGGTTGTCCCAATTAAAATTCCTTAGACAATAGGGCTGTGTACTGAGCAAAATAATTTAATACGATACAATATTTTATTAAGCGATATGCAATAAATTGAATTCTTTAATAAGTCTTATCAAAAAAGTCTTGTAGATTATTTAATGCTTAGATTTTATAAAAACTGAGTGTTTTATAACCAATTTCAAAATTCTTGCCTCACTGACATTACAAAATACACATCAAATTCAAACTGACTGTAATGACTGTAAAACCAACATGTTAAAATACAGTTGTCTATTTATTTTGTAATAGTTATTTAAGATGTGGTCTCACCTTAATGTTTAAATATCATTATTGAAGAGTTTTAATTCAAAACATGTAAATATAATCTTTGGTGATGGAAATTCCCAACTTTTTCACAGAATTATAAGAAAAAATTGCCTGTCCGTATTGGAAGAAATTTTTACGATACATTCTTGAATATCAGTTCGTATCGATATACAATATATTGACACAGCCCTGTTAGACAAGCGTAGTTTTATAGGAACCCGATATTATAAATTACCAGTAATGAAACTTTGTACATGGATTAAACCAACTATAACTAATAAACTTATGGACAAGCATTGTGTAATTACACATTTGAATCCTATTTAAATAAAATATTTCCTTGTCTGGCATAAGAGGGCATAAGTCATAAAGGTTTGTTGCACATCAACATGTTTTCTGGTCCTTAGAATATGAAAATGACTGAAAGTTTTTCAAAGTATGCAAAAAAATTGACACTAACAAAGAGACCAAGCAGCCAAAGAATAGGTGCAACTCCATTAGAGAAGACAGACCAAAAACCCACAGAAACATAAGATTTTTAAAATTATTATTTGATTATGAGCGTACATGTGACGGTACATACTTTTTTTTTTGTATATTTGAATGTTTATTGATATCATAGTAACTGAGATATTTTACATTTATATCAAGAATCTTTATTATGAATTAAAGAATTTGATTCTAGTAATAAGTGTATTTCCCCCCAAAATTCTGAAAGAGTGATGCTTATCATATTATTATGTCAGAGATTGCTCCGGGTGTTAGGGAATGATAAAACTATGATTAGGGAATGATAAAACTATGATTCTTATATATATCACTCTAATTATTTTCAATTAATCATGTTTAAACTTCGAATTTATTAACCAACTAATCATGTATAAACTTCGAATTTATCAACCAACTAATCATGTTTAAACTTCGAATTTGTCAACCAACAACACACTTTATCCACCCAGAAAATTTTACACAGATACATTTATTTCTGAAAAAGATATGATCTCCGTCTACGGAATTTCAGGACAACGCTTGTACAATTGATAAGTATAATAGCTTTACTACTCACTTTTCTCCCTGTGGTTTTCTTGGTGCTGGCAAGGGAGGCAAGTCATATTCAGTGGGAGCTCGCCTTAGTGGGGGTTTGCTGTTACCTGTGACAGAGAAAATTGTACCTGTAAATGCAAATATGTCAGAGTAAGCTAAAGCAAAAGCAAGATAAGCAAGCTTTAAGTCCATTCCCAAAAAGCAATCTTGTTTGGTTTTGCTGAAGATTTAAAGATCACAGGCACTGCAATTTGCATTTCATAATCTAGTAGATGTACTGTATTTTGATAAAAATCAAATGAAGAAAATGCATAATGAAAAATGACGTACACATGACTAACCTTAACATTTGCACATTAGAATATGTGACTAAAAGAAACCCTGAACAATTGCTTTTGAAGATACAGGAATTAATGTACATTGTAAAATGTAGAACAAACCTCCAAGACAGTCAATATATCCAAATGTTTCCTTATATACAACACAATTTGAGCAATGCATATCATACAGGTTTGTCACCTAACCACAAATTCATTGTGATGTCATAAATGTTTGACGTAATTTCTTAGAGACATAATAAAGGACTGTAGTGTGTTCAACATTCAAGTTAACACAGTTGAGGTTTGAAAAATAATACATTTCCTGGGTTTAAGAGTATAACCGCACAAATACTTATTATGATATAGTCATAAATGTAAAAATAAGTAGCAAGTATCACTTTTAAACATCTACAGAGATATTGAATATACAGGTTACTACCGGATCAAATCTGACCATAAAGCCCTTTGGGCTTTCCATATCCCAAGAGATCTTACAATTAAAACCTCATTTCTTAATTAAAATTTCACTGATTTGAATTACCTTGGTGTTATACAATTTCTACATTTCATTGTTTTTTATTGACAAAACTTTAGAGAAGCTTCTGATTTAGTTTACTGTTAATTGCATGTTCTCAATTCTGATAATATTTGAAGGTTTCTCTGCTAAGAGCTAACAGGAATACTTCGAAATCAGTTTAATTTATACTGTTTTATATCTAATTTGTATCACATTTATTTCATTGTGATGGCCAATCATTTGTATCACATTTTTTTCACTGTGGGGGCCAATTTTTCTTAATTGATTTCTTAACATTCACAGGTTCATGATGGTGATAATTTGCAAAAGTTTACATTATTTATACACTTCACCACATTTATTGGAGAAACAGTAACCAATAAGCATATTTCTAGTAAAGGAAGTTTTCTTTGAATTCATTCGCCCTGTTTTAAATTCGCCCACCTATAACTAGGGCGAAAGGGGCAAAATGAGGGCAAAAATTTCCCTGTATACAGTATATAAATACTCTGTAAAGAAGCAAACTGATAAACTGTTCCTGTTAATATAACAACTAATTCAAGATTCTGACTCAAATCCCCAATTTTTTTTAATTTGACATGTCTGCACAAGTCAAATTATAAAAGTGAGGGTTAGAATCAGAGGAATCTCAGATAAATAATCTTTCATTACCTAATTTAATAATTCTTTTGTAGAATCAAACAATTGAATACTATATAGTAATCACTGATAATCTACTATATTATATCTACAAATGAATAATTATTTGTTGACATTCCTAACAGCTACAAATAAGTTATGAGCCTCAACAATCTTTGTATAATATACGCTGTAGTATACAATATTATTTACTTGTATTACCTCTAATTAAGATCACAAACTTTATCACAATTAAAATACAATAAGCAACTTTGTGTCAAATATAGTTATCAAATGCTTTTGTTTTAGCTTCATATACATACTTATTAAGCTCATAATAATGCATGGAAGCATGGACAAGGCAATTTTTCCTCAATGTTCTATATTTTTGATGAGGGTATTAAATACACCATTCTCTTTGTTTATAAAGATCAAAAGATTAAAAATAAAATCAACAACACAAATCAAACTACATGTGTTCTAACGCCATGAATGCCCCTGCAGACAGCCAAAATTTCAAATGCCATATTTAATTTTAAATTTGTTTCCAAAGTAAGAGAGCAGAAACTGAAAATTTCTTATTTTTTCTAAATTCTAGAGGGATAACTCTGTCAAAAATCACTGGACCAAATTCGAATTTGACCTGTATTTTCTGGTAAAATACCTGCATATTTCAACCTTATACATACATCCCTTCAAAAGTTAGAGAGCGGAAACTGAAAATTTCTTATTTTTTTTTAAGTTCATGAGGGATAACTCTGTCAAAAATCATTGGACCATTACAAAATAATAAAAGTTGACCTGTGAGGCTGCGTATTTCAATGACCTATCCATATGTCAAATTTGAGTTAAATGTGTGCAAGTGTTGCCGAGATAATGAATGTAAAGTCAATGGTGACAGAATGACAGAACAGGGTAACACTATATGCCCTGGCCATTTTATGGTTGGGGCATAAAAACTAAATTAAATTTGAAGACTAAAATTTGTCTCAGCTCTTACAGCTACATTGCAAGTTGAAAAAAAAGGGATGTGCGATTTTATTGGTATACAACCTAGTATATACATGTCAATTACCTGCACTGTAAAAAATGTTGTAACACAGGAAAACAAAGGCATCCTAGCATCAAAACATGCTTTATCAATATACAAAGAAAAAAAGGGAAGTTATTTGTTAGAAAAATTATGGAAATTCATTTGAAATCATAGTAAAAATTGTGAGCATAAAAATATAACAATATTATCATGATATTTTTGGAGAAAAACTATATATATTGGCTGGGTTACAAAATTTTTGGCCATACCTATGCCTATGAAGAAACCCAAAATTTTAAGACATCATGACGAATGATAAGAAATCACCAAGCAGAAAAGCATACCTCCTTTATGAATAGCTGAGTCCGCCTCATTGTTTTCATTAGCTAGACGTTTACATTCAGAGGAGTTCACAGTTGCAGTAGATTCAGAACAAACTGAATTAATATTGGAAGGAACATCATATCTAAGTTCAGCATAGGATATCCCTAAAGAAAGAGCACAGACAAACATACAGACAGTCAGTCAGCAAACAGAGATATCAACTTAGTGGAGAGCAAATCTATTATCAGACTGTTACATGCATTTAAAAAAAAATCCAATGTAACAAGTATGAATAAAAGTTGTAAAGAATTCTCAGTCTGACGAATTTCAAAATGCTGAAGTTTCAAGAATAAGAAATCAGGAACTTTTTGATCTTCTTCTCAAAGATGAAAGAAATATTAGATAACAAAGTGAGTTGTAACAGATCAGTGTTCATTTCTCATCTCAATTTAAAACAGAACTGAATTAATTTTGAAAACTGAAACTTGGTGAATTGAAATGCATTGCAATGGCATATGGCATATTCCAATCAGGAAATTAGGTCATCATGTCTTACTGGAACTTAATACATGTAAATGTATATATATTCATTATACAAAATGTCATAATAAAACATAGGTGGCAAAGTCTGGAGATACTCTGGGTCTGAGTGTGTAAGGTATATGTGTATTGACATGAACAACACAAAATGGATATTTGTAGCCATTAATTTCCAAAATTCAGGTCAAAACAACCTGCATCACTTTGCATGGTTGAATGATTCTCTGTTTTAATGCAGTGCACTACTTAGGATCCAGCCCTAATTTAAACTGGAATTGCTTTAAAAATCTAGAGTCTTTTTTAAAAATTTATAATTAGAAAGACCTGGTCTATCTGCATTTCTATAATTTGACACATGATATCAAACTATCCAATGATAAAACTATTATAATGTACGAATATAATATTTTAGGATATCATTTATTGATGAGTTAATTATTTGATGAATATGTAGAAGATCAAATGATCACATACTCAGGCATGCACTTCCATCATATCCTCTTATCATTTATTTAACTTTTTAATACATATAAATTATGTTGCATTTTAACAGTTTACTACTTAGTTGATGTACCCATATGCTGCATCAATGAACATTTCAAATTCATAATTTCCAGATATATATTTAACCCCTTTACATGATTAAATATCTTTCCACTCATCCTTGACTTAAATTCTGCAAAAGAACCAATTATCCACTCTGATAATATTAACATATATTTTCAGTGCTAAGGATATCCTTGACATCTGGTAAATTAAGTGGGAGTAAAATGATATATACAATGTTCTGTCAACAGAAAGCAGTATGTGTGACAAATACATTTATGAAATAAAAAGGGAGGGGTAAGCGCATCTAGTGCTATATGTATAATTCTAAATAAGTTATATATTGTGAAGCCATTCAGTGCAAGGAAGGGAGATAACAAGTTGGACTGCCTTAGTAATTCAGTCTCTTAAAAGAAATGATATAATTGATGTTTACCCAAGTGAACAAATTATGCTGGTCTTTCATTAAAGCATATTTTTCTAACTTTATCCTCTAGAAATACTATTGAACTTGGCTACAAAGTAAAGTGGGTTATTACCTGTGTGATTGCGAGCTGAAAGTATGAACAAAAGGACCACACCATCACCAAATGTAACACAAATCGTAATTCTGATCAGGCCATCAAATTGCAAAGAAAAGGAATGTTATAAATCTTCTTCATAACATCAAATTCAGGGAATTTGGGCCAGTTTTTAAAAGTAATTGTATGATTTATACCATATACAAATTAAAAAAGCACTCTGTGGGGGAAAGGAACTAAAATTTGAAATATGGGAAAAAACCTTTTCTAATGGTACTCAGATAATATAAGAATTTGTACAAATGATGTGGATACCAGCCATTGATGCAATGGGAGGTCATGATACAGTCAAATACAAATATGGTGCAAGGAGTATGCAGTAGTAATTACATGTATTATCAATTTAATATAATACCAAAAAAAAAAGAGAGAGAAAAAAAAGAAATGCTAAGGGAGTATCTTACAAATATGTTTACATATACATTGAATATACAATTTTAAAAACATAAGCCCTATGGGCCACAACGCTCACCAGAGGCAGCTCAGACCTTCTGTTTCTTTTTTCCATTATCAGACTTCAGAAATATCCCATCCTAGCAACAAGGGGTCATGACTCAACATAACTTAAATTCACAAAACATTGGGGTTTTTCAATATCAGCATGACTAACATTACCTTGCTCTTTGGGTGAAGATTTCTTTATAGCTTTTTAAACTAAAAAATCACTGTAAAGTTTACAGAGACAGACAGGTGGTCAGACAGACAAATGCTTGACAATAAGTAATCAGAAAAGCTCATTTGAGTTTATAGCTCAGGTGAGCTAAAAAGGTGTATTGTATATGATTGGAATATACAGTAAAACTTGTCTAATCCGGACACCACTGGTTCCAAAGAAATTAACCAGATAAGGCAACATTCCAGATTAGAGAACATGTAAAACAATTGAATTTGCTGCAAATGACTTTTAATGGCTTACAAAAACTGCATTAGACAAGTTTCACTGTATATATCATGTCTGGAATATATATATATATATATATATATATATATATATATATATATATATATATATATATATATATATATATATATATACAGTTAATACTGGTATAATTATAAAACAACTAATTTTAAAGAGATAATTTCATACACAGATTGAAAATGAAAAGTATCAAAAATGTTTTAATAAAAGCATGTAAATACATGACAGGTAAAAAGGACAATTTCAAATATTGTATACTAACCAACTCCATCTACCACGTCTGTACAGATAGCCTTTGACACTGGCTGTGGAATCTGAGATGGATCAACAGGGGGTGTTGGTGGTAATTGTCTACGACTAAATAAAGAGAATTTACAAAATATAGCAAAAAGCTATTGCAAGTCACCTGGACTTAAATTTTTATATAATTTCATGAAAACATGAACCCCACACAGAAAAACGAACAAACAAATTAACATTTGTGTACATTAATGAAAATTCAGGTTGAGAAAGAGTAGGTATAGTGAGGTACTTCTAAGTGCAGTTGTTTACATTTAGCATTATAGAAGGAGAGTTAGAAAGTTTGAGTGGGTTTGTAATCTTCATTAACTGTTAATTGTATCTTATAATGAATAGTCTGGAAATACCAATGACATTTACCACGTACATGTACCTTTCGATGACGCTCCCAAGACAAAAACACAATAACAATTTTATACACCAGACATTTTCACACATATTCTCCATACAATTAGTGATTCTTCTTGTTATTGCAGAGCAGAAATTTATTTTTGCATCGATCAGGACAATTTATCTTATATAACATGATAGTTCATTTGAATAAAATGTTATTTAAAATAATGAATAATAAGTATACATAGTTTATATACTTTAATACAATTTTTCTGTCTTTCAGAAGTACAGTTAGATCATTGAACTAATGTTTCTAATCTAGGTCATCATCTCAAGCAATCGTCCAGAGTCAGAATATATATCTTTCTCCTACCTACTTCTGCTTGATCATATAAAGTATCGTAATCTTATATAATAACAACTCTATTGTGTGATGTAATGTCCAACCAATAAAAATAATTGTTTCAATCACAACTGAAATCAACAATAAACAATAAATGTTACGTAAACTGTGATTCAGTATTGAAAGGTCGCATCAGAGTTCATTTTCAGACCATCCTTTACTTGCATTGGCCAACATTTTAATGAGTTAGGAAATATTCTCTTCTCATTCCACCTTGGCCAGAATGAGAGAAGATCGTACATTTTGACTATAGTTTCTGATGATGAATGTAGGTAGAATGACAAAAATATCGATGTCTACAAACAAGGCAATTTAAACTGTATATGTTCAATGAAGATTTAGAAGAATTTAATTCTCATCAATTATGCTGACTGAATATTTAATATATTTTCATTCATCATCCATACCAATAACAATGATAATTACAAGTATGCACAAATACCTAATTTGAAGTAGTTAAAAAATATGTAAATGGGCTTCACAGGAAATAAATTTATTTAGGCCATTTAGAAATTTAATTTGCTGCCTTTTGCTTCTCTACCTGACCTGAGGTTTCATACTATATGCACCATACTGTAAAAGTGGAAACTTTGATGAAGTGGAAACATTGACGAAATTGACAAATAAGTAAAAATCATCAAAGTTTCCACTCATCAACTTTCACATTTTGAATAAAAAGCACTGCTAACCCCCCGTTCACACAGAGCTGCGACTTTACGAGGATCATCCCGATCAAGCCAGGATCTGAAAAAGTTTTGGGTCGGGGCGGATCGGAGCAGATCGGCGTCTAAAACGAGCATTTTGGCAAATTATGGTCTTCATTACGACCGTACTACGATGCCCCTAGGTCAAACGCGCTGCTAACACGCTTCTACTACGATGTTACGCAGACCATTGCCGACCAGCGGCCGCGTTTACTGCGTTTACGCTACGCTGCCGCTATGACATTCAAGATCATACTACGACGCTACGCAGACCTAGATGACTGTACGATGATATCGCCACGGTGGTGCCAATCATATTACGATTGTATTACGCTTCTAGTACGATTTTGGCGATGATGTATATATATCTTGGGTTTGAAACATATTTTTCACTTCTGTCCAAACTTTACCACAGGGTTTATGGGGCATTTTCAATTGTAACTGTAACAAGATGTGAAAAGTTCAAGTCTCAACTGCAAATGATTGTCAAGTATAGTTTAACCCTTTACGTGTAGTTGACAGATGATGCTTGGTCAAATATCAGCGCTATAAAACAAACTGCTGCCTGATAGGTTGTGGTATGATCGGCGAAAGGTCATTGTAGGTCTTCGTAGGATCGTCAGGAACGTAGAGAGATCGTAGTGGGAACGTAGTAAGAACGTAGTGGGAGCGTTGTAGGAGCGTATACTTGATAAGTTCCCAAATGTACTACGCTTTTACCACGATCACGAAGATCTCTCCAAGATGCTTCCGCGCTGCTTGTACGATTACGGCGCTTCTACTACGCTCTTTTTACGACTTTACCCCGATTCTTGTTTGCCACGATCCCGCTACGCTTGTTTTGAGCATGTTCAAAATAAGCGTGGCGAGAGTGTAGAGCTCTCCAATCATGAAGACCCTACCGCGATCATACTGCGCTTATAAAGACTCCACTTCGTTTCTCCTGCGATTTGTCACGATCGGCCACGTTTTCGGCCACGCTTTGATCGTAGTAGAAGCGGCGTCTATGTGTGAACGGGGGCTAAATATTATTAGATTGTCAAAGTTTTCACTCTCCATATTTCTAAAATATTGAAATTGCCAAAATCGCCTGAATTATGGTACAATGTATAAGTATGGTATCAGTGACAACCAATTGCTTGTGGAAGAAAGAAGATAGCTTTTCTACTCTTAGATGATATCCTTGATAAATGTATTCCTTTTGGCAATTTACTGAGTAAACATACAGCTTGATTATTTACCTGAAGTAAATCATTCACAATATTTATTCCTTACCTTGGAGGTTTGGGGGATGAAGTTGGCGAGACACTAGGTGATGGCACTGGTGATGACCTTCTGGGAGGGACTGGTGGGGGTAAATCTCTTTTTGGAATTGTGGGGGACTCTCTTGACTGAAGTATAATATTTTATATATTAGCTTAATTGGATATGGTGGAAATGAATAAGACACCGGTACTACAAAGTGTTAATAACAGCACACCAAAAAGAGGTTTTATATCCATGCAGCATTTTTACAATCATGTTTATTGATTAGTTATCAATTACAAAATGATCCATATTCACATCATCAGTTTTTTACTTTCATTCTTTTGCCAATAATTTTCTTCACCCATTTTTACTTTTTTTCTTCTGCCAATCATTTTCTTTAACTAAACTTTAAAATCTAGAACAAATTAAGCCATCACAGAAACTAAGCCAGTTCTATTTTTAAAATGATATTATTCATTTTAGCTAGCATATTAAATAATGCTAACTTCAACTGTTGTTTACATTCTGCAAAATCTAGCATTAAAAAATTTTTATTTAGCCATAAGTCAGAACCATTCAACTTTGGATTCTCAGGCCAAAATTTATAGAATTAAATGAGGCAAGGAAGAATTTTATTTTTTTTAAAATTTTTTTTAATTTGCAACTGGTCAAAGCAACAATAAGATCATAGTAATACCAGTAGTTCAATGAATGAAACACATTCTGATACTGTTTTTCCTTTTAGTTGAATTTGATTTGAATATTCATCACTCAAGCACTCCCATCTTTACTAAACTGCACAGACTTCTTCTGTCACTGTTCCTAAAACTGCACTCATATTGTAAAACACAGAAAATAACTACATGCATATATTCAAATTCAAAACTTTTGCCATAGGGAACAAGAAAGCACAGCTGGCTTTCCTAAGTAAATACTTGATTATGTTAAAACAAAACAAACTGTGCAAGTCACAACTTTTTACTACAGATTCATTCATATCTCAATGAATGAATATCCTCAAAAGATTTGTAAAAACAAAATTAAAGAAATATTTCCCAAGTTTACAATACAATTTCACTCACAGACTTTTTATTTCACTAGAACATTATACTTATCTCTTGAAACACTTTAGCTCTAGCTACAACTGATATGCACAACCATGTACTAAATAACTGATTTTCAGATATTCTTATTTCTGTGACCTGTCACTTTTCTTAATGACAAAAAATTAATACACCAAGTATAACAACATAATCATGGGATAGCATATTTAATGTTTCCTTAATATAGAGATAAATCTTCATTTAAATTTTTAAAAAATGCAAAATTGGGCTTCTCAAATTTGAAATAGTGCCATTCAATTTCAGTGTCACAAAATCTGCATCTGGTCAAAAATAAACAATAAAAACTAAAAATATTTTTTAAAAAAAAAAAAGGAAAGAAAAAATACCTGTATATATTATATACATGTATTTTTTGCAACATATATCTTATAAAAATATTTTATTGATGAAATATTTTTTTCAAATGACACCTTCACTTCAGAATATATTACCAAATACCCAATGCACCAGCACTTACTGACATGAGGGTATATAATTGCATCATTTTTCACAATGCAGCAACATTTTTTGGAAAAACAGGGCCTGAGAATCTAAAGCCTGATTGTCTTCAATGCTATCACCTATATTTACTATAGCTGATTGAATGGTATTGCTAAAAGTATAAAGGTTAGATTTTAAAAATTGCAACAAAAAAAATTGAATCACAGAAAATATACCCATTCTACATCAAGAATCACTAGCCAAGGGTATACATTCATTCATCTCAGTGAATACCTTTGGCTTGTGATGATATGTTTATTAAATCATTTAATTTGCTAATTAACTAATAAATAATTAAGTTGATTAGTAGTATTTCTTGGTTTCAAAGTGCATTTAGTAAAACTAAAACTCACTGTCAAGATAAAACCATAAATAATTCTCACAAGTAACTACACAAGAGTTAGTATGAGCTGTAATTGAGAATAAGGCCCACTTGTTGTAAAATGTGTTATTCTGTGTTAAATACTAGAATCCAGTGCAAAAAGAAATCTAAAGTAACACAGAACCCCTGCATTAATAACTTACATGATTTAGACACTGATTTATTACTACCTGGGCATGCAGGTTATTACACTTCCATTGGTGATCTCTGTCAGTTTCAACATGCTGGGAAAAAACAGCGCAAAAACACTCAGTTACAAACTGATAACAAAAAAAGGGGTGCTTAGTATACTGTGTATTAAACTGAAAGGGACTTTTTAGGAGTTATCTTTTATTTTTGTTTATTTTCTTCTTAAATAGATAATAGGATCAGAACTTTAACTCAATGATGATAACCATAAACACAAAATATGTTCATGGACATTTATAGTCACAGATGAACCATGCACATGCTCTCTCGCTATAAGCCTTCTTTGGGTCAACTTTACCGATTTCTCATTTTTCTTTCTTATAAACATGATAAATTCATGGTCCAATGAAAAATTGGCAACTTTTCTTCCAGACACCTTCACGTGTAAAATTAATCTTTGGTCAGATTCATGATAAACCTTTTCATGTCTGGTCAAAATTTTTTTTTATGAACCATGAACTTGTTATGCACTTTGTCACATAGCTACTGCACAAACCTGTATACACAAGAATTTTACATTTGTATCTTTATCATCCAGTGAGGCCAACTTTGAACAAATGACATGATGATCATGACACAACCTTATGTAACACAGGTACAATGTTTACACTGTATGATTTCAATTTTTTACTAACTCTTGTTGTCAGTCAGTCGAAAGTTCTTCAGATAATTTACCATTTACATGTATTTTTACTGAAAATGTAATCTGAATGACCTAAAGCAAGACTTTGAATTTTAAATTTATTTTTCACATATGTTTCCTTCACTGATATTTTTATTGGTTATAAGTAGTGAATGTTCAGGGTGAAGATCAAAATTACATAATTGCACACAGTGATCTAATTAGGATATATAATTCCCATAAAGTCAAAGTCAAATGACAATGAATTCTAAAGACTTTTTATTCTGTACAATTGATGACTAGAGTAAAAAGATTTTCCTCCCAGAAAGCAACTAACCACTTCTTTGTTTTAAAAAGTCACAAATGTTCCAACTGCTCTTCATTGAAATATCAATTAAACAACCAAAAAAAAGAAGAAAAAAGAAGAGAAAGGGTTTACATATCTAGTACATGCATATAAATTTGCGATCTTTAATAGGTTCTAACACAGGAAGAGACTCCGAGTTCAAACTTCAACATGCCCCTTATAGTCATAGATGCAAGTACATAAATCAGTTGACACTAAAAAGCACTACCCAAATAAATGCAAAAAACAAGATGTACTTGCAACAGACAAGTGCCCACTTTCCTTTTAATAAAATAAAAAAAAAATCCATTTCTGAATATTCAAGTCAAAGTATAAAATTCTAGACTAAGTTAAATTATATTGACTTTCACATGGGCTTACCTGAATCATCTTGGCGTTGCTTTTGAAAAGATTTTTTCTACATATTCCCATGTAAACCTTTGCCCCTATGCACCCCTCCCCCCCCCATTCCCAAAGGGAGCAAACTTGAATCTAAATGGAGATGCTTGTTTATGAATATGACTAACTGTGGCTCTGCTATTTTATTTTTGGTAACAATATTTGCACAGATTTTATTTTTCTATTTATTCCCATGTAAAACTTTAAACTCGTAATGAGGTATGTCTTGAACAAACTTGTTTTTCACTACATATGGACGCTTGCTGTAAATATGCTTTAAATATGGATATATTATATAGCTTTCCTGTTTTTGAGAGGAAGATTAAAAAAAAAAATCTTTATATTTTAATGTTAAACTCTGTCTCTGTTATGAGCCAATCCTAGCCCAACTGCCTTAATTTAATTGAGAAATATATTTTTTAAATTACCGGTACCCAGTAATATTTTCACAACTTCTTAATAATCTTCCCTTGAATGAGAACATGGCTCTTCATTTGAATGAACATAAATCCCCTTCACCTAAGGATGGATTGTGGCAAATTTGGTTCAAACTGGCCTGGTCATTTTTCATCAGAATTTGAAATAAAAAGTTTCCAGAAACTGGGCATTCTTCAACCAGGTAAGTTTACTTTAGACTTTGGTTCTGGTGAGCTAAAAACAAACCTTCTTACATGATATTGCATAGACACAGCTTACTGTTCTTTTAAAATTAATTGATAGCTTACATCTGAGTCATCATGTTCCTCATGGGTGGTAGGGGTATTATTGGTATGAGCCTTGGAGGAGTCCGATCTGGAGGTCATCTGTGAACTGAAGTGGTGGTCTACTTCCACAGACTCTTTCGCCTTAATTTCTGCTCGGCACAATGAACATCCCAGACCATCAAAGTCCTATCAATACAACACGAGTCTTTAAGTAAACATTTCAAGCAGGTGGAAGGTTTCTTATAAATTTTCAGGCTACAAACCATAAACATATAGTACTAAGAATAAAGTTTACCAGAATTACTTAATCTTTTTAGGTAGATTCTTTTGAATTATCTTTGAGTGCAGAAGACAATAAAATTGAAAATCTGGAACCGTGTGAATTAAATACTAGTATTATGTCAGCTAACATTTGCAAACTTCTGGGCATTGTAGCAAGAATAATGAAAAAGAAACTCACAGCTGAGATGAAACCAATTAAATAAGTGTATTTTTAATTTGGTGTGTTTAAAATCTGGTTTATCATATAAGAACTCTTTAAAAGCAATCTAGTACACATGGAAAGGGAAATAACTCCCAAAAATTCTACTGTATTTACAGACTTGTTAATAACTGTTCACTTTTATTTGTTCATTTGTTAAAATTCCATTATACTTTTGGGGGTGGGGGTGGGGGGTTGGAGGGGTTTGTACATGCTCCATGTTGGGGGCTTTCATGAAATTAAAGTCTGAAAGTCCCTTCAACATGACTATACAACTTCTTGGGCATAAGTTCACTAAAGCAACTTTTAAATCATTTTGATTTTTTTTTTACTGATTGCATACTAATTTTTAACAAATCTTGACTCATTCAACCAGGATGACCCTACTAAAATCTGTCTGGGTTCAAAAGTTCTGTAATATAAAATTTAATTGCAAGACTTTGGTATAATGAAATATAGGCATATAAAACCAGAATCAATATGTGTAGATAGGACTAACATCTTCCCCATTGTCGTCTTCAAACATGTGACGTGAACATCGCTTTTTCTTGGGCTCTTCATGAGTTTGTCTCCTTTCATGTTGTTGGTTGAAGGGGTCTACAACAACCTGCTCGGTTCCTTTAATTTCACATCGACAAAATGGACATCCTTGTCCGTCAGAGTCCTGTAAAAATGAATTGTAAAATAAGAAAAAACATTTAAAAAGTGCATAATGATGTGCATTGAAAAAAGGGCACGTAAATAAGAATTTTCCAAATTAATTCTGTTGTATAAATTATAAAGCTCTTAATTTAACATGTTTATATAGATCTACATTCTACATCAATCAAATGCACAATGTACATTTACATAAATAACTTTTTGGAGAGCGTTTTGCCAACATTCTACAAATAATAACACAATCTCTTTGTGCTCTCCATTCCACAAGCTTTTTTTTTATACAGAGCATAATACTGTGTAAACTGATAAAAAAAAACCCAAAAAAGTATCACTAGACAACAAACTGTGTGCCAATAGGAAGTATCCACTTCACTCATATAATTCAGAAGTTTTATTATACAAAATTGGGTCACCAGCATTATTACATTAACTAGAACAGTGTATCATGGCCATTAGTGTACATGGACTATATATTAAATAGCACTCATTTACCAATCAACTTGGTGCATTTAATTATGTGTTTTAGCCTTATTAGCCAAATGAAGGAGATGTACATTGAAAAGACGTTGTAGGTCATAGAAACACTTTCTTTGTATAGTTTTCATATGTTTCAAATGACCGACATAAATGATAGTATTTTAATACAGAAAAAAGTACATGTATGCTATACTTCCATCTTACTTATAGGTGTTATGGGGTTTCATTACCATAAAGCTTCAGAAATATGATAATACTGACTTTTGACCTTTCATACTTTAACTGTGAAACATGCTCAATAATCATGTAGCTCCGAGCTGATAAGGCAAGTGATGTGTTTTTTCCCTGTATACTTATATCTCAGTCTTGTTTGGTAAGTCATTGTAACATACCGGTAATAAAACATCTAGTGTGTCTGTAAATAAATTTCTGAAACACGATCACAGAAACAAAATAGATCCCATTTTAATATGTATCTTCCTGTCTGCATACAGCAGAGTGTTTGTACATGTAATCTGCCCTAATCAACACATCCTCACATGTTACAATTTAATCTGGGTATACAATAAAACTCAATGTTTGAATACAGTTAACAAAGGACATTAATTTCATACACTCCACATGTACTGAAAATACAATATCTGGACTGTATGTAGGCTTGTTGCTAGTCCTTGTGTGTTGGATACATTGTATATATCTCTCTCTTGAAAAGGTAGTCAAAAAGTGATTTGGAATACAATTTTAATTTTAATTTTTGAAGTAAAGTTAGGCAGAGTCAAGCAGACAGTATGTGTACATATAAATTTAATTTCCAGAGATAGAGAGAGCAACACCAGATAACGTTAATATACTGCATTGCAAAGTGGTTACTAAGGTTGCCATCTTGGATTTGGTACTTGGATCTATGACTTATGATAGATATCTATACATGAAGAGTTTGCTAGTATAATGTTCAAGATCAAGATCATAGTGGTAGAAAGTGACTACATCACATATATGATCTACGCTTCTAAACATCATGCAGCAAATTCAAATAGTATATACCGGTACCTATCACAGTTTACATGTATTGAACCACTTGTTTCATCCCACAAAAATTTTTTTATTGTTGAAATCTAAAATACCTGTACTTTTTTCAAACGGTAATCCAGGTATTGAAAATATGGTACAAAACCACTAAACACACAAATTAAAACATGCCAGAAAACTTGCTACCAGTGAACACCTTGCAACAAAATATAATCCATGCCTCAAGGGAGATAAACAGAGAAATCAAATGATATTACCTGCCACTGTGTTAGGCATGGTGTACATAGAAGATGGCCACAGGGCTCTATGCGGATATCTTTATCATTCTCTGCACATATTTTGCAAAGCTGGAAGGTTGAACCCATCTCACAGTAAAGTTCATACTGCTCCTGGGTGACTTTGATGTGGTCCTCCTCACAATCCTGTACCAAGAAACTCAGGTCCGGATTTATGGAGCGTCCATCAGGGAATTTGAAGCTGAAAAAATAAAATAATACAATAATGATTGTAGAAATTACCTTCTCATCAAAGTATGCAATTAAAATTTAACCTCAATACTATCTGACTGTACAAATACAAAGGAAAGTTCAAAAAATGGTTCAGCAATTTCTAACCTAAAATGTACATGTTATAGTGTTTCATTAAATTCAATCATTATCTGGATGCACAATCCAATTTTACAATTGCAATGTTAACTTTATATTAAATTCCTATAAAAATGTAACTCAACATTTTCTACAGGGAAAAGACTTCCATTTTTTACTGAAATTGCACACTTCATTAAGAAATTACTGATTTTACTTACAACCCCTCCCTTTGCCCATCTAGAAGGGCCTGACACAGGGACTTGTTTTGAGGAATGGTCTGTAATATTTGGCCCTCTGCTGTGACATACCCAATGGCCCATTGCCCTAGTCTCGTACAGCTCAGGCGAAAGACATAACTGTAAAAGTGACCTTATAGTAATACATGTAGAATGATACACTAAAAAAATTATTACTGTAACAGAATCTTTTAAGTATATCATGCTGTAAAAATTTATACAACTTTTACAAATAAAATGTTTCATTTTCTTTGTCCTTTAAAACATTTCACTATGACTATAATGAAATACACAATTTTGCGCAAAATTTATTTCACTACAAGCCTTTTGAGATGGTGGATTCACTGAACGAATAAATTCACTTATTGTTTTTTTTTTTTTACCAATCATCTGTATGCAATACGTTTGAGCACAATAACTGTAAAATATCTTCATTTTAATTACTGCAGTACCTCTAGACGGTAATCATTTTATTTCAAATAAGTTATCCTTGTTGCAAATTGCAATTTTTAAGTCAATAACAATAAGTCACATGCTGATTTGGCTAGGTAACTTTTCACAAGCTTGGTAGTGATTTTACCAGCCAAGAGTTCACAAGGTGTATCAGTATTATTCTGAGAACATAGATCTATGTCTGATATTTTATATATTTTCTTGAAAATAATTGCTCTCTTTTTAAAATGCATACTATATATATATACTAGCTATATATTCTATAAATATATACTTGCAGACAATGTATTCAGTCTATCAAATTTTAACAAAACATTCTTTTTTTCATTTCCTGTTCACCAATTTCATTTGTAAGCAATTTTATGTTTTCATACTTCATCTGTAGCTCATGGTACATACCTTCCTGGTTTATTTACATACTTCTGAAGTCTGGCTTTGACTTCGTCGTATGTTAGAAATGCTACATAACCAGGGTGCGTGACTGCCAAAACATTCCAATTTCGTAACAAGTTCACCCAGGGCTGGAAAAGTCTAAAAATTAAAAGGAACACATTGAACATTCGTTATATACAGCCATGTTATAGTCTGTCCCACGGTACCAAAAACATCACTTATTATTCTCTCGTATGCTCTTGACAGCAGTGGCCAGACTTTAACATTTTAAATTTCCAAAGACTTTGAAACATCACGTCGTACTTGTTTGTTACAAGCTGTAGGTATCCAACCTGACTAAAATGATTTGTAAATTATACAAAAAAATTATGTTAAATGGTAACAAAAAATGATTAATGGTATATTCTTTCAAGACAATTCAAAATTCATTTGAGGTGGAAATGTTGATCACTGGGACAGACTGTAATCATCTTTCATTTTCACTCATAGAATATGTATTTGTTCCTATAATAAAGAGTACCCTCCATCAAGATAAATTTAACATCTCTCAATATTAAAATCTTAAATACTTATGTAATGTTAGTCATATCGGAAAATAGCCCTGCAGTAATTTATGCATGATTTTTGCATTTCCTTTAAAAGCAGATTATAACAAATCTCAGATCTGACTTTTCATTACAATAAAATTATTATCCTTAAAACATTCAATTCAATTATTTTCCTTTCAATATTTAAGTGTATAAATGAATTATTACAATTATATACATGTACCTGGTAAATACATCAAAGTCGAACACTGAGATGTAGTCATTACAGGTTAAATCAATAGTGGATTTCAATGCCATGGCCTCTAGTGGAGAGCTGATTGGGTGTGTCTCCTGCAAAGTCTGCCGAAACACCTTCCACGACACAATGGTTCTGAAAAAAACACAAAAAGAATAGATATAAGTTCATACAATATGCTGTGATTATGGGCAACTGTATTCATTTTTTTTTTACAAGTATAATTATATATATCATGTATATTATAAAAAAAATAATATGTATAGGTCCTATACAAGTGAATGTAGCACTTGAGAAAGCATGACTTATTATGTTACCTAACACCATTTCATTCTTGAAAACAATATCTTAAATCCATACCCTTCAATGTACATGTATATATCAGTTAATGTGTAGACAGATCATTAAATTTTAGTAATTATATACTTAGTCTACTTCTTCCAACTCATTTTCACAACAAATCAGAAGGGAAAGATCAAGGATTATTAAAAACACTCAAGATTGAAGTAAATTTATTGTTTCAAATTTCAGTGCAATCCCACATACTGCTACCAAATTTGACACAGGAAGCTGACTTAGCTAGAACTAGATTCTATCATAAAAACAGGATTGGTGTACATTTTTTCATCAGTTAAAAATTGACTTTTTTTTTTTTTTTTTTTTACATCCACATGATAATTACATTTAACATATCCATGATATATTTCCTTATTCAAAGCAAAAGATCTTAACATAATAGATCAATCAATCAAATTTTAATAATATCTATACATGTAGTCATGATATGAGGGCAGACTGAAGGAGGGAGAGGTCATTGCACTCTGAAAAAGATCTCCCCATCACCTCCTACCCACTGCATCCATCCCCATGATGTATCTGGTTCAAAAGTGGGAAGTATTTGATTAAGTAATAGATACATATGAATCTTAAATGATTATGTACCGGTACATATATTGTAAGATCATTATGACTAGAATCTGGTGCACTCTTGAAATGACTTTGAATACATTGGAATACATGCATTGTTGCAAGAGTATACATCAGCCACTCCCAACAAACCCACACAGAGAAAGTGATCGTTAACAGCTGTAATTATTGCACTGTCTAGAGAATTTGTAGCCTCAACATCAGAAACCAATGAATTATTAAGTGTGTGTAATACTCTGGAGAAATCTCACTGAAGAAACATTAAATTTTTTCATACAAATTTTAATGTAAATTTATGACTTGTCTGACTTTTGAAGACCTATTATGGGGGGTTCACCCCTCCCATCCCCCTTCATCAGCACATGAAATGTAATTCAGGTGTGACTTTTAAAATAGACATCTAATGAAGGTTCACCCCTCTCCTTCCCCTTGCATCTGTACTTGAAATGTATCTCATGTTTAATTTTACGGACATCTTATGAGGGGTTCACCCCTCCCCTCCCCCTTCATCTGCCTTTGAAATTTATGTTGCTGAAAACTGGGAAGTGTAATTTACATGGGAATCTTCATGATTATGAACATGTTATGTCAGAAACTTGATTGGAAGTTATCTAGTGCATTCATGGTTAAGATTTGATACACATGTAACCTTGAAACAGTAGCTACAGTATAGATCGAGCAACCACTCCCAACAAACCCACAGAGTAATTCATAATTCTTTTAATATGTGCACTGCCTTAGGACTTTGGGGCCTCACCACCATAAACCAATTAATTTACCTAGTACATGTATAAGTACATACTGCAGAGATTATCCAAAGAGATTATTTTTTTCCTTGTTGACCTATCAATAATTCAAGGTTTTTCTCAACAAAAAGTCTAATTATCAAAATCAAAAGGGGATGTTCTGATCAAACAATTCTACAATATTTAGATTCCACATATTTTCCTTATAATTCTAAAATATTTAGATTCCACATATTTTCCTTATGCAATGTGTGGAAAAGCTTCAGCATTCAAACAAAATATACACAGGGAGGTCAAAATGTTATGATTTTTATTTTGACGTGACCACCATAAACATCATATTAAAAGTGAAAATCAAATTTGATGCTCACATTGAACAATATTCACAGCTGATCCTTCAATTTATCTGTACAGTGCAACATGTATCATTTCAACAGGCATATACTAGTATTCAAAGAAACAATATTCTATCAATCTACCATAAAATTTAAAAATGTATTAAATTTAAGCATTGAATCGCAGATTTTCATAACACTCTAATGTGTGTTATTCAATTTGCAAGCATAACTGTCCATGTTATGACATGTTGAATGTCCAAAATTTAAAACTCAAAACTTGAATATTGCCTATATACAGTTCATTTTCAATATAAATATTCATCAGTTGAAAACTTTGAGAATTCTTCCTTAATGACTGAACCTTGCAGTCTGAGGCTTCACCATGTTCACAAAATACCAATACACTTTTCATGACATTTTGTAAATTATGTACTTTATCTTCAAGTAGGTCTCTAATTCTTACTGAAGTTTTAACAGTTTAAGTGACTATGTCCTGTACTTAATCCTATTCCTGCCCTGACCAAAAGAATATTGATTTATGCTAAATCATACATATGTTCACATCATTTTATTTTAAATCAACATTCATCAAGCTGCAAAACAACTGTCACTGAAGCAAAATTATTTGCTTCTGTTGGAGACTGTGATAATTGTCAAAATAAAAGTCAAGTAGGTTTTATCAAAGGACACAGCATATCCTAATCATACACTGACAATTTCAAAGGAGGAACACAAATTTGGAAACTTAAATCCCCCCCCCCCCCCAAATTTAATGTGTCATGTCAAAATTTCAATTTGAATTCTGTGCAATTAAATTTTTAAAACTTAATTAAAAGAAAATGACAGCAGGGTTTGCAAAAACCTGTTTGAAACAACTACCTTTTCATCTCAATACAAGTACACTGCATTTCTGCAGGTCAAGAGGCAAGCGTGATATAGGCCACACTACTTCAGAATGAACCATTGTACTAAAACATGGACAAATTATTAATACCAGTACACAGGTACATGTATCTGAATATTTATGCATTAATTTTGTTCCAGATCAATAGGCCTATATATGAGTGTACAGCTTTGTTGCTGATTTTAAAGAATACAAAAAGCATTATCACACATGTATGTATACCAGGATATACATGACATCTACACAACTTCCTTGTTTTTTAGACATAATCTTGTTTACTTTATATAATTCACAAGTGTGCACTGTCGTACTTAATTTATTAAAGATATAGAAAAGTGTTTTACATTGTGTACATGATAGTTACAAACTCAGAGGTTTACAATTACCTTACAATCTTGATTATTACAGGTATACCAACCAGTATGTTCCTGATAAAACAGACTTAAATATAAAAATGAACATAGAACTTTGTACATATTGAACGTGCAGTACATGTCCTATTTCCTAAGGGAAAAAAATAGTTTATGAAAAAGACTGAAAATGAATAGGAAATAAAGATTTTTTTATGTCTTTACCCCCAAAGTATTATTTTTAAACATTATATATTCATAATGACCAAGCAGTGGCCTAAAGCAAAAACAGCGAAACTGAGATGCTGTTTATATGGACAGGATGAATTATTCAATTATACAGCACACCTATACTGTCTACTACTACCATGACTAATGAGAATATGTCACATGTTTTATTGTACTTCACTAATAAATCTCCATTCTTCAATCAAATCAATATAGAATTAGATATGCTCACTGAATGTGTCTACAAACTCTTCATGTAAAATTCATAATCACAATGTTCACTATCCAGCATAAAATATAAAGATGTTTGTTAAAACAAAATTAATTATGCATAAATTAAAAGGGTATCCTAAAGTTGATTTAATATGTACACAATATACTGTAACATCAAACTGTGCAGGTATAACATGTAATATAACAATGTAGGGTGGACAGGCAGTGGTCATTATGATGAGAAATCAAATTGGAAAACAAGAAGACAGACTTTAAAAAAACCCAACTCTCTTTAATACTGCATCTAATAAAAGTTTTTTGTATTTCTTCCTCATCATGTTAATATAGACTGAGGGGAGTGAATTCAGGTGGTATGATGCAAAAGTTCTGTTCAGAATTCAGCCATTTAATATGCTGTCTATGAACAGGTTTTCAAGGATAAAGTTTACAGAAAAAAAATTGTATATATAATAGATAAGTCAAATTACTTGAAGTTTTAAGAATTTTTCAAGCCAAGGGTCCCACTCTGAATACCCTGAGATATTGCATGTTTAAAAAATATTCTGGGTTGTTTCAGATTACACCACCAGTGCATGTCACAGCTAATTCTGCATGTGCTCTTCTTCCAATGAAAGATCTCAAACTAGGTTTACGGATCAGCATCCCTTCACCACTATGACATGAGACCAGATGGAAGGGAAATAAACAATACATGAGACCTGACAAGAATTTGAGCCAGGGCCCCCAGCTCTAGACAGGTGCTCCAATACTGAATATAACTGAACTACCCAGCCTCAGTGAATGAACCGTCTAACTGCCACAGATGAAAAAGTTTAATGGACTAGTGTGCATACATGCTATGTGTTCTGTTAGCATTTATTACTACAACTAAGGGAAGCTACACCTGAAAATTATTCAAACATTTCAGAAGGATCCCCTGTGAACACGTGCAACAACGAACTTCTCACTCTTACCGATCCCCAAATGACTTTCTCCACCACTCTGCTGCATCACTTTTTGTTATGCGAAAATTGTCACCTGCAAACTGTCCATTTGGATATATTGCTTTAAGCTCTGCAAGCATGTGAGAAAACACTAGAGATAACTTAGTTAAATTTCGTCTGTAGTGAGAATTTTCGTCAAACATTTTTTCCTTGCCTTCTTTGAAAAGTTTTATCGTGGCTTTACACTTATTCATAAGATTCTCTATAAACACCCGGAAGTAGTCATTTTCATTCAAAGTATTTAATTTATCGTCATGTTTATTGTAAATTAAACGGAGATGTTGATAAGTGTCTGGCAGTAGGTCCAAAATAAAAGGAGGACTGTTTCTCAAATTCATTCTTGGATGTTGACACAATTTCACAACTTTGTCCATTAATTTCCATGACTTTTCGATAGTCTTTTTATCAACAACAAGTTTAGGTGTGGCTAAGACTCCCTGAAGAATAGATCCAATCATTCCCCCAAAATTTTTACTCTGGGCGTTTCGATTGCGATCTTTCGGTCCCATCGCCATTTTGCTGGGGCAGCTTCCTGGTTCAATACCTCATTCTCGCTTTTTATGTTCCTCGTTTCCGTTATACGGTCATGTGGAAATGGGGTAAAAATATATATTTGAATGTAAGATTACGTAATTTATGATCTTTGATGCACCGCGACAAATATTCCAAAATCACTTTTATATCATTTCTCGGATTGTAAATGTATGGATAATTTTACGACTTCAACCATTTCAATTTACGACTACACGTCAGAAACATGGCCGACAGAATAGATGATACAAGCTGGTAAAACATTTTAATCAAGACTTTTGATAATATTTTGAGTTAAACATTCATCAGACTAAATCAAAGACATTGATTCATCTTTACCAAATCAATAACAATTAGAATTATTCGAAATAAATAAGTAGAATGACTTAACAGTCATGTGTAAATTTAAGTTTTTGACAGTGATTTGTTATGGTCATGTGACCGTGAGTTATCTGAGAAAATCAACATTAATTACTGAATAATTATGACCAAATATTCTTAACTCTGAAGAAAGATTAAAAAAATGTCATTACTCAATTAGTCTTACAAGTGTAGCGTTCAACAGGACTCGCTCCCCTCTCCACGGGCCAGGGGTTTGCCCCTTGGGTGTTAAAAAAACAAACATAAAAATTCACTATTTACTAACAACTAGAACAATTAACACAAGGAAAAATGCCATTTTAGATTACTTTCTCACATCCAGGGGTGTAGGGCTGGGTACATCATCGCAAACCACAGCCAAAATGTACGATCCTCTCCCATTCTGGCCGTGGTTGAATGAGAAAATATTTTGTGGCTCATTAAGATATTGACCAATGCGAGTAAAGCATAGTCAGATAATGAACTTTGACGTGACCTTTCAATACCCAATCACAGTATACGAAACATTTCTTGTATACTGTTGATGTCAATTGTTGATTTCAAAGAAATGGAAACAAATATGGTCATTGGGTGAACATGACCTCACAATATAGAGGCATAAATATTCAAGATTACAACTCTTTTTGTGATCAAACAGCCACGGGTAGGAGAGAGCTATATGCGGACTCCGGACCGTGGCTTGAGATGATGGGCTGGGTATTGGCTAGAGATTTCATATTGCGATATTTTTAACTGTATTGAGATATGTTTTGCAATATTTTCAACAAAAACTTAAGGAGGTTGGATCCTGCCATCAAAAGTAATGAGAATTTTTTATCAAGTATATTTTTAGAATTTATACGCATAGCTTTATTAAAAATCAAAACAAAAAATGTAGGTCAGTGCGCTTCTTTTGGCGCTACAGAGCATTTAGTTTGACCTTTTTGCACTGTAAATACCTCTTACACATAAATCAATTTTTAAAGTTTCTCCTCCAATATTTTTTGTTCAAATAAATTATGGGAACAAAAACAGTCTTATTTCATCTCTAATAGACACATTAAAATTGTGACAACGAAGAAATTTTCAAATTACTGCGTATGTTCAATTATTTGAACTTTTTGCACTCAAGCATTTTCATTTTTCTGGCATTAAAAATTTAACAAGCAAAAAAATCATTTGAAAGTGATGACATTTTACTGAATTTAAGAAGAATGGTTAAAAGTATCGTATATATTCAGAAAAGAAAATCAAAAGTGGGGGTCTGTGATGTTAATTTTGAGATATTACTAAAAAAATGCTAATTTAAAACTTAAATTAGGGCTATTTTTTTCTTCATTTTCACAATATATTTGCTATATTTATCAAATATGATGATAGAATTCATGACAATTTATTTAGTAGATAATATAGGACCAATATAAAACAGTCCACTGCACAAAATAACTCTGTGTGCACACTGAATGTAAAAATAGGAATCCAAACTTAGCATACTTTAAATACTTCGAAAGAGAAAAAAATGATCATTTTCTTCGATAAAAACCTTCCGCCACAAAATATAGTTCCCCACTTAATGCTTTTGGTATGGAATTTAATCATGGAGTTTAAACTGAATATAGTTAAATTGGCGTCGTAGAATCCAAATTTATTGTAAGAATTAAAACATTATGCAGAATTTTTGAAATATAGGTTAAGATAAAAATCTGCTCAAAAGCTCAGGAGCGAACCTCGTTAAATGGTATTTTTTTTTATCATATAAATTTCCTTTGACATGTAGAATGTACATAACTATGATAAATAACCAATAAAAGATACATTGTCAATTGAATTAGTTATTCAACTAAATACACCCATACAAAAGTTTTGTCTTAGTACTGTTTGGCATGATTGCAAACCTTTCTGACAACTTTTCTATATATTTTATAATAGAATTTCTGAGTCTAAGCATTTTCCTGGTATCTCGGACAGTGCCATCGGTTTAAAACGTTGCAATATGATATTTTTTGTCAACATAACGCAATATACCAGAATATTGGTATTATTTCCCAGCCCTACAGGGATGTGCAGTTACCGACGCCCAGGGCTACCGAATTTAGAGGTCGGACTAGCATAGCGCAAAGTTGAAACATAAATGCTGCCTTAGCCCATTGGGCTAGCAAATCTAAAATGTTAAAAATTAACACAAACACATTTTCCATCGAACAATTGTCAGTATTACCAGTCAGGGGTGAGACTGAAATTAATCATTTTTAAAAATGATGATTTCTATATAGTCATAAAATTGATTTTTAATATAAATGACTAAAATTTATCATTTTGTAGAATAATGATGAAAAACAGTCATAACTATTTGGAGTTTATTAATATAGAGTTACTTCTGAAAATAAATATGACTGTATTTCATCATTTTTTATAAAATTGGTAGGCCTGGGTGCACTTAATTATCTCATTATTTATATGGCACACTACTTTATTTTGGTTTCAATTGTTTGTCAAGATGTTTCTCTACACATGGGTCCATAGCAGGATAGTGTATTGTATCATATTATTGTAGTAAATGGGTCAGAAGAATTAACTTGGGATGGAAATATGATGAAAACAAATCAGATTTACAAAAATAATAAAAACACTTACTGGTATATTATGTACATGTAGTTAGTAGAAATGACAATTATCAATCATTTTTCAATATGATGAATTTTGGTGTCACCCCTGACTGATTACGTCAACTGAATTTATGTAAAGGAGAAAGGCCGAAAACTGTCCATTCTGTGAGAGAAAGAACTAATCGAGGGCCGTAGGCCTGAGATAAGTTCTTTCTCTCACAGAATGGACAGTTTGAGGCCTTTCTCCTACTTAAAACATGATTTCCTTTGTTTTGAAAATTAAATATAAAATGTACAAAATGACAGGTAGCACACATACAATGGCAAGTTCATTGTTTACGGAATGGACAGTCACAGGTAAGCTAGGGATGCAGAGCAATTTGTTGAATAAGCCATTGTGTTTCCAGATGCAAAAACCAAAGGTTTTTGTCTTAAGAATGGACAGTTACAGGTGGATTTTGCTGGATACTAGTATTTATACAAGTATGCGATGCTTCAAAATCAGTTTACAGTTTGCGTTGTAAAGGTATACATGTTTTCCTGTGATGGAGAGAGTATATGACAGAATCAATATCTTATAAACCAAAATATGCACAAAATTAGTGATATTTGGATCTGGAAACAGAAAAGGAAGATTAAAAGAAATACTAGCCAAATTTTGACCCAAAAATGAACTTCGACAACAGAAACAGATGATCAAATTCAAATCAAACCTGGAAATGTTTTATTTGAATTCTATTTCTGAGGATATATTAACTGCAGCAGTGTAATGGTGAGATGCAAATTGTGTTCTGAGTGTTGGATTAGCCATGAGCCAATCTTCGACCTGAAATGTTTTTCAAATCAAATCAGGAAATGTTTCATTTTTATTTATTTTCTACCGTAATTAATACATGTATTGACTGCAGCAGTGCAGTGTTCATAGTGCAAACTGTTTTCTGGGTGGAGGATTTAATATTAGACGCACTTCTATCTGAAAATAAATTCTCCTCGAGGGAATGATTTTTCCGAAATTTAAATCAAATGTGAAATTGTGTCATTTAAATTCAAGTTTTGTGAAAATTAAGTTTTGGGTATTGAAATAGTGTGCATCATTCATGAATTTAAAAGAGTAAAATCGAATGGATGCTGTGTAGACATTGTGTTCTGGATTAACTTTGGTCTCCGCGTTCCTTTTGTTATTTACATGTAAATTAAAAAGTATTTAATATATTTGTTTTTGTTTCCCTCTTGAACACATTCCAAAGTTTACCTGTAACTCTCCATTCTGTTTGTTTTAACTGTCCATTCTTTTTGAAAAAACTGTCCATTCTTAAAAGAATGGACAGTTTTCCGAAAAGAATGGACACTGACAGGTAACTTAATGGATTGTTTGAGGAGTTAGCTCAACATTAAGCTATAGAATCGACAACACAAACAAAAGGTTTACGTCACAATCATGTTTTAAGTACAATTTTACTCTGTTGCCAAATCAAGATCCTCAGTCCATTTTAACGTATATGCATTGTGCATGGCTATATATATAGATAGTTTTCGATGGGCCTGAATTAAGCAAGAGTTATTTCCCGTTTGTTGCCATATTGGAGGTCCAACGCGCAAATTTTCCTCTTTCACTGTGTAGAAATGGACTAGGGTAAAGTGCGTTACCCTAGTCCAACATGGCGATAGGCAAAAACGCTTCACATTTTCTTGTACAAATATTGGTGATTTCTAGCAAAAATCTTTATTTTGCACCAATCTGTCGGGCATCTTCAGTTTTATATGCTTGCTTGGAGATTGTATTCAACTTAAGCGTAATTAAACAGAAAATGCACGTCAAAGTTTTGCTGCAGATTAGGGTAAAGTTTCTGGACTATTTATTTACGATTAGGGTAAAGTTTTTTCGAGACTAGGGTAAAGTTATTTATTCTGCAATCTGATTGTGCATGATTTTGATATTTTAACTACTTTATACAATTTATTTAGTTGGAAAAGGCTTTCTCGAAAAAGTTCAAGAACTGTTGCTTCCACAAAGAGGTTATATCGATTGCAATTTTTTTTAATAACCACAATTTTCTTTCAGATTATTACTCTTATTATGAACGTTATATTTTCCGTTTCAGGTACATATATTATTTTATTGTTAAATAAATATACATGTACATGTATAAATGATGTAATTAATTTGTCTGATTTAACTTTCAGTATTGTCTCCTGTATATATATATATAAATCTACTTTGCATCTGTTAATCCCCACTTTGAGCGAAATCATCGAAAATGAGTCACTATATCTAATTTGCATTTGTTGGTACTCGACAGTAACGGAGTTAATCTGCATTGTGGGTAATTTCTATCAAATGTAATGAGAAAATAACAAACAGTAATCATGCTCAAAGTCCAATTAAACAATACAAATTGTGAGCAGAGCAAACAAGGACCTCAGAAAACATCATAGGTGAGATCAGGTGCCATGGGGGAGTAGGCATCATCTTTCGATCGGTCACCTCTGCCACGTATCCTTTGTTTTAATCAGATAAAGGGAAAATGTGTTCACAGTTCAGTTAGAAAATAATGAACTAACAATTTATATGAAAGACATCAGTCAACTTTCGAGCTAACAACATAAAATGTATTTGCTAACAAGATCATTGTATTGACCATAGAATTTGCAAAATGTTGGCCCTTAAGGAAATTGTTGATACCCTTATCATACTTATTCGTCAGCAGCGCAGTCGTTTTAGAAATTTTTCATATGAATCTTCGAATCCACTGGCAACATAAACCCTAATTGCAGGTGAATATGATGTAATGCTACACAAATAAGGGAAGTTGATGATAGATTTGGAGACATCACGTTTATCATCTTTTAAGCTTAGGTGTTAGTTTACCATCATTGTCTTTCTTGAGTAAAACATCCAAATATGTAATGTATCAGAATCTTTGGAATCTTTTATTGAGTTTAATGGGACATATCGAATCAATGTTTGAATGAAAATAAATATTGTTAATGACAAAGGTCATCAATATATCTAACTGTTAAATTGAATGTCACAGAAAGAGACTTCTTTTTAACACTTGATCGCAAACATGGAAACAAGTGTCGGATTTTGTTTTAAACTATAATACATGTAATGTAAATTGTAAGGATATCGAACAGTGACCAATCTCATAAATCCGTAAACAAAACGAAACATATAAATATATTGACAATGTGCACTGCTGACAACATAGCTCTATCAATATCTATTTACAAAATGATTTTGACAAATATGATGTAATTAAGATAGTCGTCGAACTAAACACCTCCATTACCAAAGAGAGCACTTTTTGTTTGGAAAGAATTTCTATGCGTTGCTAAGGAGATTGAACTTAAGTGGTCTGATTTTCTAAGAATAATTTATATTATTGAATGCTTGAATACTAATTGTTTTCATAGTAAAGAATATTTTAAGTACTTACCGGTAGGTACAATTTTTATGAAAAAAAAACTCACACAAGTTTTCCGAATCGAAGCCCAGGTTAATCTGCATTTATCTTACTCTTTGACAAATGTTTTGCCAAAGTTTTCTCATTAGGTACAACAAAGTTTATTTTGTCCGTTTTTCTCACGTATAAGTGCTAGTATAATAACATTTTCTGTATAATATGCAAATCTAAATGCTAAAAAGTAATCGAGGTCGAGAGAGTATACACATAAGTTAATGACACAGTGATATCAACCACCTCGTTTAAATTCGACATTTCGCAAATTCTATGGTTGATACAATGACCTTGTTTGAAAATACAGTCTATCATTTAATTAAGTCCAATGTTGACTGACGTCTTTCATACTAATTGTTAGGCCATTTTTCCCCATTTACCTGATCATGACAAAGAGTACATGGCAGGTTTTACTGATCGACAGGGTATGCTCACTCCTGCATGGCACCTTATCCCACCTCTGTTTTCACTTTTCAGAGGTCCATATGCTCTGCTCATAATTTGTATTGTTTAAATTGGATTTTGAATATGATATATATGAAATAATTCCTGCATCGGAGGAATTGTTGGAGAATATACCCATAGTCGATGGATTTTGTTGGCAAATAAAAAAAACGAGCCGAAAAAATTATTGCACAAATCCTAGTTTGTAAATGAGTGTGATTAAAACCGCATCATAAGGTTTCCTTGTTTCTGCATTTTCATGTGTTTCACTTTGTTACATTAGGTTTGGTCCTGTGTGTTTCTCAAGTACACAGGACCTAATGACCTGTGTGACCCAAAAAACTTAAGCGCAGACTGTTTTGTGAGCAGACAGTCTTAAATAATTACATGAAAATAAAGTTCCTGTGATTATAAAGTGATTTACAGTAAATTTAAAGTGTGTACTGTAAACACTGTAATCTACTGTGTTGTTTATTATATAAGCTGTATTAAAGTGCATAAATTAAGCATGTATTTTGAACAGTGACTTGGTTAGTATCTATCTTTAAATTAGAGAACCATTTGCTGAAGTTGCCAACCTTGTTACTCTATGTATTTGCAGTCAGTGTGGACTTAAAATTATGTTTTGAATTAAATCATAAATATGTCATAGAAAAATTATTCATGAGGTGAAGGCAAACAGCCCTGGGTTATAAAGGAGGGAGGAGGTTGGTCCTCATGCTCCTGGGATAACTTTCTTTTTGCAAAAGAACTTATGCGATAGTAAGGTGACCATTGTCTGTCTGTCTGTAAACAGTTTTTCAAAATGCTACTTCTCCTACAGTTTTGGTCTGATTTCAGTATAACTTGGAATGCAAGTAGACTACACTAAGATACATAAATCTATATATCAGTATTTGATTTCAATGAACAGTGTTGCCATGGTTACTAAAAATAATTTCTTTGAATAATCTCATAATGCTACTCTTTCTACAGTTAAGGTCTGATTTCAATATTTCAATATAAGTCACCACATTAGAAGATTACACTGAGATATGTAATTCTCTTTATTGGTTTTTGATTTTGATGAAGTGTTGCCATGGTTACTAAAATTAAAATTTCTGTAAAATTCTTTTAAAAGGCTACTCCTTCTACAGTTTTACTCTGACTGCATTATTCTATCATTGCATTTTGCAAAGTTTAAGTCCATGTGCTACTTTTCTCTTCCTTTGTTATAAGTACAAACCAGTAGAGCTATAGTCTTGTCAGAAACTTCTGGTTTGGGATAAGTTTTTTCTTAGGCAAGGTGAATTCCTTTTAGGTAACATGTCAATAACTGGATTACCCAAAGGATTAGTCCACCAAATGTGGAGTATTGAATCTTGAAATGCTGTAGATCTTTGATGCATTTTACAAAGTTTAGCTTGAAAATATTACCTCTTTTGAAATTTAAATAACTCATTCCTAAACTAGAAAACCTGGAGCATTTGTTGAATGATTTACATAAGCAATTTATTTTCTTGTAAAATCAAGCATGCTATTGTGATAGCTAGTATTCAAGTGAAGATTTAGAAAACAGGAAGGAATGATTAATTGATAGATTTTATGTTGTTTTACATCCCATCCAAGAAATTTTCACTGTAGAGATGTCACATCACCATATACTGATGTGTACCTGGCCAGTAGAATGCATGTACTAAGACTGACTTAGATCAAACTTGGAGAAAGCACTAGAATTTAACAAATCAAAGCCAGAATAGTATACTAAAGTGAAACAAGATTTCTATTTGAAGATGAAAGAAAGCAATTTTATTATTTTATCCTTTTGATTACATATAATATTTTTGCAGGGTAACAGATTTGGAAACAGCACTTGTTGAAAGTTGTGATTTTGGAACTCTTAAGAACATTTGTAAATGTAGACCTGTTCCAGATCACTTGAGACCAGAGGTTTGGCAGGTATTAACTTGTGTCTGATCTGTTCTTTTTGTATCTTTTTAGTTTTATGGAAAATCTATTATGTGAAATGTGGATTTCAAATATTTTTCAAGAAATGTGTTTTCTGCAGAGTTTAACTGCCAAACATTAGTTTGAAAAGTACATCTCTTTAATTACAACATTTTCATACTTTTTCATTTGTAGATTTGTCTTAGTGTGCAGAGTAAAGGAGATGCTCTGAATTCATTTGATGGATTGTATGATCTTGATGAACAAGGGTTAATTAGAGAAGATTGCAAAGCTCTAGTTGGTATGACCATTCTGTACTCAAGTATATTAAATGTGCATTATAAAAGGCATCTTGAAACCTCAGTCCTGAAGCAGAGACAGTGTTGAAAAATGAAGTAAAATAAAGTGTGTGGTGAACAGTATACATGTTAAATTTAACATCTAAAAAGGGCACACATTTTCTTCTGCATAAAGAACACTTTTTATTGCTGTTGCTATAGATTTAAGACACGATGGACAATTTCAAATAGATATTAAAATACTTTTCTAAATTTTAAACACGTTTTTCCAATTCTTTTGTTTTTAAAGACAAACTGGGAAATGAGGAGGAGGACAAAGTTTCAGTGGTCAGTGATTTAGAATCCATCATTACATTCTTTTCGAAATCCAGAAATGAGAAATATATATCAGACAACGGATGGCTTGAGGTCATACAACCCTTGCTGGCACTTAAATTAACCAGATCCCAGCTCTATAACTGCTTCTATTCCATTATCAACAAGTTTATTCCAAGGTATATTGACATATTTGATGCAAAATGTATTTTGAAATTTTTAATTACTTATCACAAATGAAAAAGAAATTATTAGTATTGCTGGTTTTACCTCAAATTTTCTGAAGACTACTATACAGTACACACAATGTTATTCTTGACAATTCTGTCGTGTTCTGTTGGCCTGATTCCTATATAGTATCATGTGGGTATCCAATAGAATCATTAATGTATTCTATAAGACTAATATGTAATATGTTGCTTTTCTCATTTTTTGATTAGTAAACAGGTTAAAAGTTTTTTGAGCAGGTCTATTTCCAAGTAACTATAAGTCCTACTGAAACCAAACTTGCATGGATATTGATCTTGGGATGTCCACTTGGGATTTCCTTTACTTATAGATAACATTCATCGAGATGAGCTTCGTAATCTCTGATTACCTATGATTGTATTATCATGTTTTGCATTTATCAGGTTTTCTGTTTACATTTAAACTCATTTAGTGCAAACACAATGAATTTATGGATATTGTGAAAGTTTTTTTGTATCCTCGGTAAAAAAAATCTTAACAATTCCTTTTAAAATTTTACATATATAATGATGTAACAAATTTATGTATATAGTGAACTGATTTTTGGTGCTGTACTTTTTTTTAAGGTAATTGTCTGTAAATTTATTTACCAATTTTTTATCCTATCAGGTGTTGTATTTATCATAATGTCTGTTTATCAGGTTTTGCATTTATCACGAAGACCATTTATCCTATTGCCATGCTTGGATCCTTTTGCTTCATGAATGTATCCTATTGTTCATGTAGTATCATGCCTGTATCCTATCATGTAACATATCAAAAATAATTTTGTGGGTACTATACCACATGTATTTTTAAAGTCTCAACCTTTGATAAGTAAACTCTTCAGACTAAGTTTTCTCCAACTTTTATCTTTAGAATCGTAGATTTACATATATGTCTCTTTAGCTTTAATTTAGTTACCCCCCCCCCCACCCCACCCCACCCCACCCCCATCCCCACACACACAACTGTTGTGGGGGGACTTAGTGCTTGACCAGTATGTATGTATGTAATATGTAAATGAGTCTCTGCATACGTGTGGACTTAGTTTTAAGAGTACTATTAGACCTTTTATATCGTACTTGCTACAGAGATCTATGCAAAGTGGCAATAGGAAAAACCTTCTTGAATATAAAAGCAATAGGAAAAACCTTCTTGAATATACAGGTCATGGCACTGTTAAGTGTTAACAATATTGGACACAAAAAGTATTTTGTGATTTTTTAGCCTCAAACTTGCTTCAGAGAATCTAGGTGGCACTTTTATACAGTCAAAAGACCAGAGATTGTGTTTAAAAAGCTGTGGGCCCAATTTAAAGATGAACTTTTAGATTTTCACCCTCCCAATTGCGATAGGGATGCTAAAGGGAGGGGAGATGAAGATGTTAAGTGCCATGTACATGTATATATACTTGGCACATGTTTTTGTATGTGCTTTATAATGCATTGTCTCCAGTGATTGAGAAGGGCTAAACTAATTACATCTACCTGTGAATATGAGGCATATGTTCATATGAATCATACATAAAATTAACTATGCAACTGTATATAATTTAATTATAGTTGTAACAAGTCATTTGATTGGATAAAAGATTTTCATTTATATCATATAACATAAGTTGCCTACGTCACAATGAGTTACGTCAAAAACGTATTAATCCACTTGATGTTCCTTTAAAAATATGCTCAATTTGAAGCCATTTTTGGGAGGAAAATTGTCTTATTGTCTACACTGAATTTAAATTATAAGGAATGAAACTTATTTTAACGTATTTATACGATATAACATAACTTGGGGCAGTTTACGCTTTTTTATAAATCGCTTCACGGTTTATAAAGCGTAAACTGTCCCAAGTTATGTTATATCGTATAACATAGGTTAAAATAAGCTTCATTCCTTAAATAATATTATTTCTGACATTAATTTTATATTCAAATTTACAGGGATTGTGTCAAAGGAGGAAAACCATTCCATTTGTTTCGCTTGCTCCTTCAGTACCATGATCCCGAGTTGAGCTCATTTCTGGACACAAAGAAAATCATGCCCGACCTTTACTGCCATTCATGGGTATAGATCAGCAAAGATTGAGTGTTTATCAAGCTTTCTTATTTAAATATCTTTAACTCACAAGAAATTAATCTTATCTGCCTGTCTTTAAACAATCACATTTATTTAAAGAACTTTTAAAAAGTTTGATAATTACTGGTATTACATACATGTAAAACTGAACCTTTAAGTTTGATAATGAAAGTTGATTTATCAAGTATTGAGAAATTAGGCCACAATTAAAAAATTGTTTGTTTGGCATTGTCAACCAAGTTCTTAAATGATTGGGTCGTTTAAAGTAAATCAAAGATCAAAAAAAAAAAGAAGAGAGGAGACAATTGTTAAGCTGTTGATGTGATTATTTAAGTGAATTATTTAATAAAGGAAAATCTACAAAATGGCAATCAAAATTAAGATGGGGCATGGTATACTGTCATCTTTGCTAGCCAAGGGTGATGATTCGCTCCTCTCCTCTTGAAAAGAGCTAGGGAAGATGGGTATACGGGATACTAAAAAACCCTTAATGGCAGTTGATTTCTGCTTGATTTTTCCAATAATTTTGGCCATAAAAAATTTTGGGAAACGATTGAACTTTAAAATTCCTTGTTTGAAACATGCTAGTAATATTCCAATTAGTGTTATTTCATGGGCATTTTATGTACATACATATAATTATGTAGATAAAGTACTGAATCTCAACTTTATAGATCATTTATCTGGGGGACTGAAATGTTTGTGTCACAATGTTTATGTCGTAGAAATTGACTTTAGATACAGACAATGTAGGGAATACTTTTTTGGGCTATTAAAGGGTAAAGGTGACTGAAGTAATATTTTCAACTATGCCTTATTCTGGGTATGTACTGGGGTAGTGATGTGATGAAAGCTTGACCTTGTGAGAGAAGCTGTAATTTGATTGTATGCACACTAGTAATCTAGTATGCATGACATGTACCGGAAGTTAAAAATACATGTATATAAGTTACAGTTATTGAAATAATCATTGTTTAATTACGGTTCTTTATCCATTTTAATATGCATTTATAAATAAGTTATACAGTGTACCAATTTGGAGATTAAATGTACATGTGAACAGAGAGAGAGAGAGAGAGAGAGAGTTGAAGTTTTGTTGTTATTTTTGAAAATACCTGATTTCTTTTTACAGTTCAGAAGTTTGTTTGCTGCACCTTGTGATCTACAAGTCATACAGGTGATGTGGGATGTGTACTTTCAAAATGGAGACCAATTTCTAACATTTTTTATGGCTCTTGTCATCCTAGTTAATGCAAGGTTGGTACAAAATATGGAACATTTACAAGTCAAGTATACCCTGGTAAAACTTGATAATGAGTTTGATTGATGTATTAAAACAGAAAGAGAAAATTTCTTCAGCAAAAATGCAAGTCATTGACATGTCTGATAAGAATGCACATTAAAATACCTCCATTCTAAAGTCTCTTTACTACTAGACTTTACATTTTTTGCTGTATTTACTCTGAATATCCTGAATTCCCAGATATTTAAAAGATTTTTCTTGGTCCTGTTGAGTTTGAGATAAGGAGGTTTGACTGTAACCGAGTGACATAATTTCATTTCAGAGATCAAATTTTGGCAGGAGAAGTGGATTCAAAGCAGCAAATTACAGGTACTTGTAAATAAATGAAGAGGAAGAAAATTAATATAGTTCCTTTGAAGTTCACAACAGATATTTTTGCTTAGCATAATATCATTAACTTTGATATTTTCTTTGTTCAGAAATGCTGACATCCTTCCCCTCAGGTCTGGAGGCAGAGGACATTGAGGATTTCTGTGCATTAGCACAGTACTATGCCACCAAAACCCCACAGTCTTTCAGAAGGGTATGCAATATAAACACATTTAAACCATGGGACATATACATGTACATACATGTCAGGGTTCAAAATTCACTATATACAACTTGCAAAACGCGAGTTAGAATTCCCAAATTGCGAGTTAAAAATTATGTAACTCACAAAAACTTGCGAGTTGATTTTTTTGTATTGAAACTGTAGCAAAATTATATAATATGACAGAACACAATGCTTTTGATTTAAATCAGTAATTTAATTAAAAGTCACACTGTAGTTGTATTTTGTGTATTGTACAGTAGTTACTTTTTCCTTAAGTTACATGTATTTAATTTATATAAATTAATTTAACTTTATATGAAAATTGCGAGTAGTCTTATAAAATTGCAAGTTCACTTTCTTGGTACTCGCAATTATTTGCGAGTTGTAATTTTAGGGAGTTTCTAACCCTGCATGTATATGAGGACTCTAAAAACTTACTTACCATCATTAAAGCTACTGTAAATATAGTGAGAGTTCCTTACTGGTTCATTGAAATTTTATGAAACAAGGTTATCTTTGTATAATGTTTTCTGTAGGATTACCAGAGTCCATTATTTGGTAACAGTATGACCCCAGGAGAAAAGGAGGATGATTTACAAGTTTCACAGGCATTATGTTTACCAGTTTCTGTGTCAGAACTTCTTCAGAGCAACAGCCAAGCAGGAGTGAGTAATATTGGTTAAATACAGATATACTGGTAATTATCTGATTTTCTTGGACAGCCAAGGGTCTATTTTCCCCCTTCTTTGGCATCAATATTTTTTATTAGATCTTAATGCTCAAACATATATGCATCAAGAAAAAATGAAATGGTACTTCAAAAAAATTAATACATCACAGTTATAGAGTCCTGTCCTGAGATTAGTAATATTTCAAGTAAGGCTAACAGCTTCTTGTGATATTTTTTACAAGTAAAAAGTTGAATCCTGTAGGGAATATTTTTATATCTTCACACAGTGTAGGTAAACATATTTACCTGTTCAGGTGTTAGCATGCAAGAAGCTGTAGCTAAGAACTGAGTACACCTAATGCTAAACATGTTAAAGATATGCATAATAATTATATAGGAGTATAATTAAGAGAGTGTTGTTTTTAAACTTTGCTGCATTCCAAATAGACAATTGAAAGAGGAACAGATAAAGTAATCTTAAATATTATGAATCCCTTTCTTGTTGACAGGGTGATGGTGTGCGATATTTTGTGGTGGATTGTCGACCTGCTGACCAGTACAACAGTGGGCATCTGCGTACGGCATTCCATCTAGACGCAAATCTTGTAAGTTTCTAAAACACACTCCAGATGTGTTCCTTTAGTAATGTAATTACTTTGTCGAAAAATTAAGACTCATTAAATTTTCACGAAAAGTGATGTTTTGGTAATGCAATTTCAATATATTCCTAGTGGTAGGATCTTCCACTGTTAAGTGATTTGAAATTTCAATTAATAATTGCTTATTGCTGTTTTGTAGATGTTACAGAATCCCAGAGAGTTCAGTACTGCTGTGCAGGCTTTGCTTGCAGCACAACAACAGTCAATATCCTCAGGTCATTTTCTTCTATTTTGTCTTGGACAAACACTCCAAACTGATCAGTACTGTAGGCTGCCTAATTTTGCAACAGAACTAAATCATGAAATAAACACTGTATTAAAAAAGATATTTAAATTAGAATTACAGTGTACATGTGTTATAGTAAATTGAACAAAATACTGTGAACTCAAAATGGTGTAATAAAAAAATATTTTATGTAGAATTATTCTATAACAAAACCAAAGATTTATACAGTAATTGAAAAGTTAATAATTTTCGTACATGGTCAAATTGGTAATTGTTGGATTAAAATTCTTTCAAAAGTGCAAATATGTTCTTTAAAATTTGATTCTGTTGAATTTTCATGTGCCGTTGAACTTTGATATCTGGAACACTGATATCTCGAATATTATGGATATTATGGATATGTTGAAGTGATTTAGAAGTCCCAACCACTTATCCTTTAAGTATTTTACTCCTGATATCTTGAATTTTTCTCGGTCCCATCATGTTTGAGATAATGAGATTTGACTGTAGTTCCTTTCAAATTTTCATATTCCAGAGTGTATCATTGTGCAACAATATTCTGATTATTTATTGGGCCCCATAGTATATCCTTTTACGTGTATTAAATGCCTAAAAAAAGAGAATTAGGAGCAGAAAGGAGATACTGTAAACATACTTTTGCCATGGGGTCGTAATTCCATGGGACCAATATTTCTGCTCAATTCATGGGTAGAAATTACACAGATTTCTTGGACTGCCTTTATATGTCTTTAATGACCTTTAAGTTTGCTGTGACAAATTTCCATGGAAAATTTGTAACCCTGAAAATAGTGTAAAATAATTCTGAGTGAAAAAAGAATTTATACAGTAAGTAATTATGCTGCTATGAACTAGTTTTAAATTTCATTTGGACTTTACAGGATCAGTAGCTGGAGGAGAACACCTTTGTTTTATCGGCAGTGGACGGGAAGAAGAAGATCAGTATGTCCATATGGTCATAGCCAATTTCCTACAAAAACACTATCAATATGTCAGTTTTGCCAAGGGAGGCTATCAAAGTATGTAACCAAATATGGTTATTGTCAATATTGAGAAAGATTTTCAATGTTTAAGTAAAGTTCTTGGTTTATGCCATAAGCAGATTTGGAAATTTGAAACTTTGGGGGGGAAAAAATTGTTCTTAATCAAACATATATTTACTTGCAAAAATATAACTTTCTTGAAATTTTTTGCTAACTTTATTGGCAAGATGAATAAATTCTTGGAAATTGTTTGCTTTTTATGGTCAGGTTTACATGAAATATTAAAGGACAGATTATCAGAGGGACTAACAAGTCATAATCCTAAACACTGTATTGTGTGTAACCCAGAGGCATGCAACAGCTCAAGTGATATGGAGAATGGGGAAGATTTTCATAGAACTCAAAAGGTAACCATGCCTTTTTTCTTCTTTATTAATAATTGTATCATACCATTTTGAAATATATGTTATCATAATTATTTTGTTAGTAAGTAGAATTTAAACTGGAAATAGATTTTTTTTGGCTGTTTTGGTCATCCAGTAGTACATAAATCATTTTTTAATTGCATGTTTGTTTTATTCTCTTTGTATTTTTAAAATTTGTAGGGGGAGGAAAATGGGGAATCATTTTTTGGAAAATTAACCTCTACAGTTAAGAGCAAGTCAGCTGTGATGAAACAAAAGTTAACAGACTACATTAAAAATGAGCATCAAATACAGGAAAGGTAAGTTATTCTGTGGGTGTGCTGGATCATTGTTTGTATTCTGAGTTACTTCTCTTGAAATTACTATGAAATACTTCTTTATGAACTAGAATGTCAAGAGGGATTTTATTTGGACAGGCATGTCAGTAATACAGACCGTGTGGGCAAGAGATACAGAAACATGGCCAATGTTTTTTCTATTGGTGATGATGATGACGGTAAGATTAATCATATCAGGAAATTTTTTGTCCTGACATTAAGATATAGAAAAATTCATTAATTTGTGCAGAGGATGGGAGATAAATTTTGACAGTTGAAATGGGTTAAATTAAAAGAATATGCTTTCATTGTAATAATAATGACAATTACATGTTTAAAAATGTATCAGCTTTGCAAAAAATTATTGCTATTCAAATCTTGCTACTCCTTCTAACAATTTTTAAAATTCTTTACTGAATTTGGTAAGAAAATCTATGGAATTACTATGGTATGTTTCCCTTTTTGAATTTTTAAAAATTTTTTCTTGCCAGGTGATGACCAAGCTGGGAACTCATCTGATGATGAAAGAAAGGAAGTTGTAAATGTGGAAGTATGGCTAAAGAAACCTGATGTCAGATACTCCTGTAAATGTCAAGAGGTCATTGGTAATGGATACATGTTTCCAAGGTAAATAAAAGATTTGATTAGCAAGTCTGATCTTTTTCCCTTTAAAAGACACAATTGATCAAAATGCATACAGCAAGCCTTTCTAACAAAATATACCTCTTGGTCCATTATGTCCTATGGACTTATTGGATATTGGGGGTGGGCTTAAGTCAAACCAAAAGCAAACAATAATCATTTGAAGTAATATCTATTATCATATATTTTGTAGTTATGTTCTGGTGACAGACAGTCATTTGTACGTACTTCGAGAAATTCCAAACCGGAAAAATATGGCACATATTCAGGCAAGACGGGCTTTAGGAAGTGTTGTAAAAATTACATCCAAAAGAAAACACCCAGACTTTATCACATTCAAGTATGGGTCTGTTGATGGAGAGGTTATTCAAGTAACAGACATTGACCGATTTCTAATGCCACAAGCACCGGAGGCAACTAAAGTTATCAAACAACAAATTATTAAAGTATTGGATGCACTGGAAAGCTGAGTTGTGGTTCTAAAACTTTTCTGTTTTGGGTGCACAGTGTATAAATGTATTATCATTCAGAACAAATATTGACTATAGTCAAAGATGTTGAGATTGATTGACAAAGTAATAATTCATGATATGTACTAATGCCCTGTACCTAATTCGATGGGCATTTGCAATGTTCTTACTCTTTAAGAACTTTTGGAAGTTTTCCATCTTATTCTTTAGTTGTTTAACAAAATTTCTGCTATTATGACGATTTTGTCCTCACTTTTTGCATATCATAGTATATTGAACATTTATTCCATATAGATACATGCATACATACATGTATATTAAAATACAGGTATTTATTCCTTTTGTAGAGTGTTGACATGAAACCTTTATAAGTTTATTTATTTCTAACTCTTACTCCCTGTGATACAATTTTATGTTATTCCATGGATTTATTTAGTTCATATGCTTTTTTTCTTGAGTTGGTAAATGCATGTATAATATTTTTTTTTATAGAGTTTTAGCTGCATTGTTCCTCCTAAAGATTACCTCCTAAGTTGAATGTTTATATGAAAACCAAATATATTTCCACTATTATAAAGTTAACATGTCACCAAAATACTTTACCCTGAGCATGATTAAAGAACTTCTTTCATGAGAAAGGATAGTGCAAATATTATATATGGGCATATTGCAATACATAGTGGATAAAAAACATTCTTTTTTTTAATTTTAATGTTTGTCTGTAATGTATAGAACTAAACCCACCTTCGTCTATTTTGTAGCCCCCCCCCCCCCCCCAAAAAAATTATACCATTTGGAAATTGTATCCGAAGTATAGCTTGCACACAAATATAAAGTGCTATAAAATATGTATACTTGTACACAAAAAGTGGTTTAACCTGTTGGGAGTCATACACACTTATCCATGCTTAATCAACAATATAACGTATCACACAGTCACATGTATGTTTTTAAAGTATGTTTTACTGGGTTTATTAAGGTATGTTAAAATATTCTTCTCTTCCAACATAAGAAAATTGTAGTGAGATCTGTACAATAAACCACAGCCTGATAGGGTAGGAAATGTCTTTTAGGAGTTGTCATTTTGACAATCATTCTGAGGAGGTACTGTACGCCTTGCCACATAGAAGTCTGAGATGCATAATGATGGTTGTCATTTGTTCTTTTCCAGTGATAATGTTTTCAAATGTTTGCTTAAATCTCTGTACATGTTTTCTTTTTGCATTTATAAATCTACATGTGTATTTTCATGCAAGGACTGCTTTGGTTTATAAAGCTATTTTACTGCAGGTTTAGTGCAATTACAATTATTGGGGTTTTTTTTGTTGGATATTAAAATAATAGTAAAGTTAACATCTTTAAGGAATAGACTTTTTTCCCATCTTGAAGTAACTCTACAAGGTTTACTTTCAAATGTTTTCATTAAAGACCAAGTCTAGATGATTTTTTATTCAGAAATCTGTTTGCAACAAGTGTTTCAAAGGGATAGTTGGATATATACATCGTAAGTAACAAAACACATTTATTTATTTTTTTTTTTTAGATATGTGTACATGCATTTGAAGTATACATCATATACATGAACATGTACATGTATGTAGAAAACAATCTGATTGATAGAAAAGATAAGAGGTTAACCTTAAGTTTTAATTTTTCAAAAGTTCTATGTACAAAATACATTTATCACATCCATGTACATGTAACTTTTGTAAAGTGCACATTTTGCACTAAGCATTCAATGTGAACTTAAGAAGATTGATACCTGTGAATTCAACAATGCGCTTTTATCAGTAGTAACTGAACAATCTGAGAAATATTAAAAGTCTAATTTGACTACAAATATTTCGTGCACATTATATTAGAACAATCTCTTTTGTAAAATTTAAACATTTGTTTTGAATATAAATGCTTATTAGATGAGTGAATAAATGAAAAGTTTTATTTTTAGTTATTGCCAGAAACATCATTAAAATAAATTTTAAAAAAAGTGATAGAATTAAATAACCTTGGTTGTAAACTCAGTCTGAAGAAATTTTATAAAGACACTCTACAGGATAATCCGAGATTCCTCTGACTCTAACCCCTGCTTTTATATTTTGACATGTGCACATTTCAAAATATAAAAGCAGGGGTTAGAGTCAAAGGAATCTCGGATTATCTACAGGATTGCCTGGGTAAAATAACCAGAAATGTTCTACAGAATTTGTGTTTATTGTATTACTTGACTTGATTGTGAGATTGTATTACTTGACTTGATTGTGAGAAATATAGATTATTATAACAGTAACTTGATCCGAAGAGCCGTATCACGTCGAGTTGACAGGCGCGGATCATCAGATCAAACGAGACGCGAAGCGTCGAGTTTGATCTGATGATCCGCGCCTGTCAACGAGACGTGATACGGCACTTCGGATCAAGTTACTGTTATAATGATAAATTTATTATATACCCCTTTACAACTAGCAAAGTATAATAAAAGGAAACTTTTTGGATCATATACATAACTTTTATCCATTAAACAAACCATTTTGTCAAGGAACTTTTTGATGCGCGAGAATATAAACGTCATTTATCTGTGTACTACGTCATCAGTTTCAGAGAGGGGTGATATGGATTCAGAAAACCACAGTGTGGTGATCCGGAACGTCGGATCACACTGTCACGTGATTGCGTGAATTTAACAGTAAAACTGGTGACAAACAGTTGGGTATATAATAAATGAATGTAAATTTATAATACATCTTGAAATCAATGAAAAATTGTATCTCTAAGTTTGTTATGTAAATAATTAAATTATTGCATAAAAACTGATTTAGCTATAATTTATAGGCTGTGTTGAAAATAGAACTGTAAACAAATGAGCTAATGCTACCATAGTATATGGCCTGCAGGGTTCGACACTAACATTTTTTTAGGCTTTAGTCCGGTGTCGCATAATGTAACTTTAAATCCTCTGGTGATAAGTTTTCACAAACACTATGAAACCATTTATTACACACAGCACAAAACACACAAGAATTGACACAGTTTTTTCTGCATCCACTACAGGGCCACTCATTTTTAGGTCACCTGAGTCACTCAGGTGACCTATTGCTATCTGTTTTTGTCTGTCGTCGTTCGTCGTCAATCGGTCGTAAACTTTTGAACATTTTTAGCTTCTTCTCTGGAATCACTGAACCAATTTCAACCAATTTTGGCATATAGCATCTATGGGTGAAGGGGAACAAAAATTGTGAATTTCATGGTCCCTGCCCCCCTGGGGCCTGAGGGGTGGGGCTAAAACCACCAAAAATAATGCAATCTTTAAAAATCTTCTTCTTTACTCCTGGACATAAAGCAGTCAAACTGTTGGCATCATTGTAATAAGCATGGAGCCCTCTATCAAAATTGTGAAATTCATGGCCCCAGGGTCAGGGGTTCTGGCCCCAGGGTGGGGCTATATAGATCATATAGTGAAAGTGCATTATTTCTTTGAAAATCTTCTTCTCTGCTCCTGGGTATTAAATAAAGTTACTAAGTACATAGTTATGATGAGCAAGAGTGCCTCTTCCAAAATTGTGAAATTCATGGCCCCAGGGTCAGGGGTTCTGGTGTTAGGGCGGGGCTCTATTGATTATATATAGTGAAAATGCATTATTTCTTTGAAAATCTTCTTCTCTGCTCCTGGGTATTAAATAAAGGAACTAAGTACATAGTTATGATGAACAAGAGTGCCTCTTCCAAAATTGTGAAATTCATGGCCCCAGGGTCAGGGGTTCTGGTGTTAGGGCAGGGCTCTATAGATTATATAGTGAAAAAGCATTAATTCTTTGAAAATCTTCTTCTTTGCTCCTGGGTATTAAATAAAGTAACTGAGTACATAGTTATGATGAGCAAAAGTGCCTTTTCAAAAATTGTGAATTTCATGGCCCCAGGGTCAGGGGTTCTGGTGTTAGGGCAGGGCTCTATAGATTATATAGTGAAAATGCATTAATTCTTTGAAAATCTTCTTCTCTGCTACTGGATATTAAATAAAGTAACTAAATATATAGTTATGATGAGCAAGAGTACCTCTTCCATAATTGTGAATTTCATGGCCCCAGGGTCAGGGGTTCTGGTGTTAGGGCGGGGCTCTATCGACTATATGGTGTAATTGCATTAATTCTTTGAAAATCTTCTCCTCTGCTCCTGCGCATTAAGGTGTTAAACTAAGTACATAGTTATGATGAGGAGGTGGGCCTCTTCCAGAATTGTGAAAGCCATGGCCCCTGGGACAGGGGTTCTGGTGTTAGGGCGGGGCTCTATTGATTATATAGTGAAAATGCTTTAATTCTTTGAAAATCTTCTTCTCTGCTCCTGGGTATTATTTAAACAAACTAAGTACATGGTTATGATGCATAAGGATGCCTTTTCAAAAATTGTGAATTTCTTGGCCCCTGGGTCAGGGGTTCTGGTGTTAGGGCGGGGCTCTATTGATTATATATAGTGAAAATGCATTGATTCTTTGAAAATCTTCTTCTCTGCTACTGGAGATTATATAAACAAACTAAGTGCATGATTATGATAGGCAAGGATGCCTCTTCCAAAATTTTTAAATATATGGCCTCAGTTTTTGGGGTTCTTGAGGAGGGGGTGGGGGCTCTATTGATTATATAGTGAAAAAGCATTAATTCTATTAATCATTAATTAATCCTGTCTGCTCCTTTGTGTTGAGCTGATAAATAAATTGCTTAGCTATGATGAAAATGGGAGCTTCGAACAGAATTTTTAAATCTTGTGGTCCTAGGGTCAGGGGTTCTGGCATAACGAAGGGGGGGGGGGCATTTGATAATATAGTGGAAAAGTGTTAATTCTTTGAAGTCCATAGTTATGAAGATGAGGGTAACTCTTCCAATGCTGTAAATTTCTTGACCCTTGGTCTTGGGTTCTGGTGTTAGGGTAAGGCTTTGTTGAATCTGTAGTGAAAATGCATTGTACCTGTGAAATTCTTCTCTGCTTCTGGACATATTGGAAGCAAACTGAGTAAAAGTTTAAATGATATGAGTATGCGTATTTCTACCAGATTTTTAAACATCTGGACCATTGGTCTAAGCATTCTGGTCCTGGGCAGGGCTCTATTAATTTGTATTCTACTGAGAGAAGTTATTCCCCTTTTCCATTCACCTTTGATAATTAATCACTGTAAATAATGTATTTGAAAGGTTAATAGAATAAGATAATTATGCAAGAATGTTTATCGTATAATTAAAAAAGTACTTT